AATAATTGAATGAATGGTTTTAATTAAGTTTGCTATACTACTTAAAAGGTGAATTATGAGCTTCTTGAAACAAATAGTGAATAAATTTGTGCATGGGGAAAGATTCTCTAATTATACTGAGTGAGGATTACTAATGAGATAATTTTGGGATAATTTAATCAATGTTTTTATTCTTTTAATTTCAAAGTATTTTATCTTACGTTTAGTCTAGAATAAAACAGGCATGTTGTAGCTTTGATTTCACAACCTACATAATATGAGGCATGAAATATAAACAGCTACTTAAAGGAAGCATTTATGAAATGCATTTTTGGTGAATCTGATTTTGACGCTGTAATCAAAATAAAAGTTTAAGCTCTTAACTGAAGAGGGGAGAAATGGACAGGAAAGACTATTGTGCTAGAGCACAAGAAGTCCTTGTTCAGCTTCTTGCGAGGATAGATTCTTCACACAAGGGTAACCCTTTATTTTATATTTACTCAAGTCTGTTCACTTCCTTCTCAGTCCATAGTCAGCGTTGCAATTTGTTTACTTATCACCAATTATTTGATTCACTTAATTCAATTAATTGGTTCACTTATGAACCAATTATTTGCCAAAAGGCTCTCAGTATTTTTTTTCAAATGTAAAATGCTGCATACAAGGTTTGGGAAAGTGAAGTTACATAAAGATCCATTTTGGTCACCCATTAGGGTGTTCCTTCTTGAGATCCTCCCTTGTTGCTCATTTTTTTCTGAATGGCCCTTTTCCTCTGCATTTAATTAACTTAGTGCTTCAGTATGCATTCAAAGACTAGGAGCCTTCTTCTAGAAGCTGTAATTTAGTTAATGGGCAAAGTAGAATGCCGATATTTTCTAAGGAAACTGATTCCACTGCATGGGGATTGCAAGTCTCTTTTGAAGGGGAATTCACATTGTTGAGATTTATTATATCAGCCACTACAATTTGTTTTGGGTATTTATCATATACTCAAGGAAGTGACAAAATATTCAGACGAAAAGTGAAACATATCATTGTCCACATTATGTCAAGCATTGGAATGCTTTGGAAAAACCCAAAAGACTAAGTTTTCATATGGAGATTTCGGCAACACCAGATGCAAAAAACAATCTTTGATGGAAAATGCATTTTATCTATCATCTATCTATCTATCCATCATTTCTATTCACAGTTGGCATACTAGCAGGCAGCTGAATATTATAAAACTAATTTTGTGATAAAACATTCATAATGCAACTCACACATTTAAGTGACGATATAAAGCAAATAAATGAATAATATTAAGATTCACTCTGAAACAAACTTTTAAAGTTAATTGACCAAAACAGCTACAGAAAACTTACTGAAGAACAAAATTTGCTCAAAGGTGCATCATTACAAACAGTTCAGTGCATGCAAGCTATACTTTCTGAAATTTTAGCCTCAAATTGAAACACTTAGTGATAGAAAGTGTTTAAGTGATTAGGTATAGCTGCAGATATTTTATTTCCTGGTTTAAAAATGTATTCCTGTCAAATACATGCCTAAAGGAAATGTTCTTGTATTTTTACAAATCGTGATTTGTCCAACCTGTCAAATGGGTTACTCATTCTCGCCCTGTGTACTAGTGTGGTTTCTCCCAGGCATGCCTGGGGAGGGGTGCAGGCAGGAGTGGTTTGGCAACACCAAGCTACAACCTGGCATTTATGTCAGGTGCTGCCAATTTATGGATGAAAAGCCAGCATGAGACTTCTACACTGAAATAGCATCTTTCCTGGCCAGAACTCAGATTTCCAACCATCAACTAACTAAAGCATAGTCAAGAATTTAAAAAAGCAACAAGACTTCCAGGCAACCAAAATAGATATTAAAAAAAAAAAAATGAATGAAAGCTCAGGGCTTTACCCATAGACAATACCATAGACAATAATGTAGACCTTTGTTTCAAGTCATTTACTTAGACTGCATTAATTCTAACATTTGTACAATCTCACGGATTAGAAGTAATGGCTTAGGAAGAGATTAGAGTTTTACTTCTCATCCTCCGTTTTAAAGAGTCTGGGGAAATATAACATATATCTGAAGTGATTAAAAAATATCTCAGACACTTAAAGAAGTAAACCCCAAACCATCTGGAAAATGTAATGATTCAAAATGACTCATTCCTCTGTGCTCTGGATAACTGAGGTTTTCTGTGCAATTTTATTTCATTTCGACATCTAAATTCTATGAGAGAGTTTTATTTCATTCGAGTACAAATAAAATGATGAGCACTATCAAGGCCAAGGACTTCCTTCAATCTAAGCTACTGAAAACAAATTTTAACACCTGCACCATGAAGAACCATGAAATAACCACACCAAAAGCAACTAACATTGTTGTGTACCAACTATGTGCCAAGAACTTTACATATATTATGACTTATCCCTGTAATAGCCTTCGATGGGAGGAATTGCTATGCCCATATCACAGATGTAAAACTAAAGGTTAGTGGTAAAGAAAATTGCCCCAAATTGCCCAAATTTAAAGCCAGGTCATTCTGGCTCTAAAGCCAGCATTCTTTCCATGGCTATCTTTTCCTTCTAGCTGATGAGAGTAGGTCTCCAAATCCTTGGTGGGACTCAAGGATTAATTCCCAGAGAAGTAGGATTGCTGTCAAGGTTGGATCATCGACTGGTTAGATCAAGCAGCCATAGGGGCAAGGATTGAGTCTTGCCTTAGGCCTAGTATATTGTCTCAATCTCCCACCATCCATCTCTCAAATACCTACCTCTGCAAAAAAGGAATCTGGATTCTCATGTAGCTGGCTCAGTATGTGGTTAATTGATTTCCACACTGCCCCAAATAGTTCAAACCATAGAGGACGGCTGTGGGCCAGGGTGAGTGTCAGGCAAGAAGAAGATGCCTTATTTTAACACAGAGGGCACACTAAAATGAACAGAAGATTTGTCTTTTACCATAGGGCACTCTATCTTAAATAGATAGGGTTTGCATCTCATTTCCAAAATAAAATTTCACTTGCCACCAATCTGGATTTACCGTTTTCAGATTTAGGTGACTAGTGGAAGTGGTGGGAGCATCTTAAACGGTTCTCATAGATGACTGGCTGTGGGGGAGTGTAGGAACAAATAAAGAGTAAAGGAAGGGGGGTAATGTTGCAAGGTTCATTCCCCGTGCAAACAGGCCCAGCTGGAATACAAAGTCCACGAACCTTACCTCCTCCCACATTTGAAATGGAACCTGGATGTGACATTTTGGGGTTTTTTCCCTCTGGCATTACATTGCTGAATTCTTGATGTAGTTGCCCGGAAGCCTCATAAGTAGGTTAAATGGTTGTTTGCTATGCCACTGTATGATTTTAGGGACGTAGGAGAGACTCCTACACATGCTACCTCACTCAGAGTCTTGCCAAATTGGCCCTTTAAGATGCCTGAAATTTCAGTTAATGCTTCATTGTTTTTCCTCAAGCCAAAGATTAAGTGCTAATGCAAATACTCCTGGAAAGGGTAGTTCATTAACTATTATCAGTCATATATACCTTAGTTGGAATGAATTTGACTACTAATTTACACAAAAAATAATAAATGTAAAAGTCACTATGTAATCCATAAATTATCAGATAAATATGAAATTATCTGAATACACTTAAAAATTTTAAACATAACTGGAACACATTTTGATTGAAGAATCAACTTCACCATCACGTCTAATATCTATCAAGAGTTTATTATATGCTAGGCATTATCCAAAGATTTCATGACAACAAACTCATATGAGGTAGATATGATTCTTATTCTCATTTTACAGATGAGAGAGATGAGGCACAGAGAGGTCAGGTAACTTTTCAAAAGTCACACAGCTAGTAAATGTAAGCCAGGATTTGCACCAAGCAGTCTACTTCCAGAACCTGAACTGTAAACCACAATTGCCCCCTTCAAAGGTATGATGGCTGGAACATATGGGAAAAAGATCTGTGAGTCATGAAAGGTCTGAAGTTATTTAAAACTGTTATTATACTAAAATCTATTACAATATGGATACAATTTCCTTATATCAGCTCCTGAGAGAACTCCACTATTCTTGTTGTGGTCTGAACATCAGCATAATGGAAATAATCAGAACAAGGTCAACAACAGGTACTTACTCCCACGTGGCTGATGTGGTCACTTTTGTCACCTTCATCTTCGTGAACTTTGCCGTTGTTGTCATCATCATCGTTGTGATTTATTGAGGGCTTACCATGTTCCGGGAATCATATTTGATACACTACCTAAACGGTCTCATTTTAATCCTCAAAGCAATCTTACGGGGTGGGTATAACTGTTCACATTTTATAGATGAAAAGACTGAAGCTCAGAGATGTTAAGTTCATAGAACCAAAGGTGATGCACCTGGAATTTGAACTTGAGTCTGCCTTCAAAGCTTATGTTCTTAACCATTTCACTTTGTCCAAAATTTTAATAACACTTCTACCACCACCACCACCAAATACCACTTATTAAGTGAGCTTTATGTGTCAGGTTAGTCTTATGTCACTATTTCAAACTACAGTTTGTGGGCTACATCCAGCCAGCTGTCTGTTTTTGTAAATAAAGTTTTACTGGGACACAGCCATACTCATTCACTTACACATTGTCTGTGATGGTGTTTGTACTAAAAGGTAGAGTTGACTAGTTACAACAGAGATCCCAAAGCCAATCATACTTACTATCCGGCTTCTCACAGAGAAGTTTGTGGACCCCTTGCTTTAAACCACTTTGCAATGTGTATGTTCTCATTTTACAGATGAATAAATTGGAATTCAGAAAGATTAGGTAATTTGCCCATCCAACTGTTAAAGAGCAAGAACCTAGTGAAAACCTGAGGTCTAGATGACTCCAGAATTTGTTCATTTTTCTCCCTGAAACTTACAAAGGCAACAACTTTCATAATTACCAGTTGAAGGAAAGGAGATTTCTCTAACACATGGTTAAAAATCTGGGTTTAAATGTCTGATACTGGGGACATTAAATTACTCTTACCTTCTGAGAATTTACTGTATTTAATTCCTTGAGGATGGATGCTTACAGGCTTGTCTGCCTTATTCTTAAAGTGAACTTTCACCATGTCTCCAACTTCAGCATATAAAGTAGGCCCAAGAAGTCCTATGGAAACAAGGATTTATAATATATCTGTGTTCAGGACTACCAAAGACAGAGCTGCTAAGCATGGAGACATGCAGACAACCCCATGAGTGATGGCTGTCATTCTTCCTGGTCCTGAGGCTGGCTTGCTTGTCTTCAGTCTAGAAGGTTTTGCCAGCACATTGTCTCTACATGGCATGCAGTCAGGTCAGAACAGGAAGGTAGAAATGCTTGTCTTGGGCCCCAGGCAAGTCAAGAGAGAGAAGGAATAGTTCTGACCATGTCTACCCCATTCTGACCCCTGTCATTTTTGAAGATTACTGTCTTTGATCAAGAAAAGAAAGGTGTTCATTTTCAGTTATGCAGGGTGATTTGAGGGAAGGTGACTGGCTCCGTTAGATCTCCCTGTGGTGGGAGATCTCAGAGACCCCAATGAAGTGAAGGAGAAAATCACAGGGTACTCTGGTCCTAAGGCAAGCACAGAGTCCCTGAGGCAGGAGTGAGCTTGATGCGTCCAAAGAACAGTAAGAAAAACAGTGCAGGCAGAGTGAGAGGAGATGAGGGAGGGGGCGGATCATGTGAGGCTTTACGGGTCTTGGGAAAGACTTTGGATTATCTTCTGAATGAAATGGGAAATCACTGGGGCTTTGTGCAGCAGACAGACATGGTTTTAAAAGTGCATTCTGGAAAAAAAAAAAAAGTATATCCTTGCTGCTGTGTAGAGAACAGTCTGTGCAGTGACGGGAGTGGAAACAAGAGTAGATGGTACAGATAAGCCAGCACGCATGGCAGGGAAGTGGCAAGAAAAGGTTGGATTCTGGACATTTTGAAGGTAGAGCCAGCTGGATTTGCTGATGTGGCATGTGAGTGAGGGAAGTCAAGAATGATCCTGAGGTTTTTTTTACCTGAGCTACTGGGTAAACAATGTTCTCACTTCCTTCAGTGTGGGACACAGTGGGATGACAGGTTATATAGGTGCAGATATCAAGAGTGAGGTTTCATGTACTACATGACAGGCGTGCTGAGTGCTGGGGCCACACGGGTAAATAAGACACTGTCCCTGTGCTCAAAGAGTTCTCAAGCTAGTTTGGGGATAAACACATGGTAGGAGCTACCGCTGAGATGTGGGCCAAGTACTCTAGGAGTAGAGAGGATGAAGGACCAGTTCTGTCTGAGGAGTTAGGGGAGGAAGTGATATTTGAATCGGACTTTGGAAGAATCATAAATGAGAATTTCCCAAAATGTAGTCCTTGGATTCTCTGCATGAGAATCGCATGGGGTCTAACTAAAAGGCAGATTCCTATCTCAGCCCCAACAAATCGAGCCTCTGGAGTTGAAGTTTGGGAACACACTTTTAACATGTGCTCCTGAGCGATTCTGATGTCTTTTAAAGCTTGAGAACCTGTCACCAGAAGTCCTATTTCAGACAAGTGACAAGAGTTGACTGCTCTCACTTCCCAGCCATCTGTAAACTCTGTGGGGTTGGCTTCCACCCACTCTGTGGGATCACAGGAGCTTGAGAAGAAAGGTAGAGCAGTCATGGAATTCAACCAGTATCTGTTTGCAGGGGTGATGATCATGTTTATAAGGCCTCCACTTACAGAATTGTAATGGTGAGTAAAATAGATGGCTTCACAGAGCTTACAAAAAAAGTAAGAGAGACAGATTTTAACAAATAATCACACAAACATTTAATTACAAACTGTGGAAAGTATTACAAAAGAAAAGCATGGATACTCTGAAAAGCATTTGACAGAGGGATCTTGTCTAATCTTGGAGGCAGGGAGGGGATCAGGGTTGGGAAATACTTCCTTGAGGAAGCAATGCTTTAACTGAAGTCCAAAGGCAAGAGGCAAAGGCATGGGCAGGGGCATTTCAGGGAGTGGGATGAGCATGTGCAAAGGGCCCGTGGCACCAGAAAACTTGGCCTATTCAGAGAACTGACAGATGGCCACAGTGAAGGTAAAGTTTAACAGGTAAAAGAGAGAGGCAGAACGTGAGGCTGAAGGCATGATCAGAGGCCCCGTCATGTAGAGCCTTCTACATCTTTTAGAGTTTTGCCTCTGAGTGTACTTGGAAGCCAATAAAGAGTTTTTAGCAGGGGTGAGACATGGACCAGATTTTGGGTTTTAAATCTCTGGGTGCATTGGTGGAGGATGAGCTGGGGAGAACTCAGAGTGGGTGCTGAGAGAACAGATAGAAAGCTCCAGGGAGGTGATGTTGGTGACTTAGTGTAAGGTGATAGTTGTGGAGGTGATGAGAACATACTAGGGAGCTATTAGGAGATCAAACTGTCAGGACTTGATGGATGGGATACAGGTGGAGGGTGAGGGAGACCAAGTTGCCATGGCTGGCTGGTGATGTTCTGGCTGGGCGGCAGGGTGCAGGGCTGGGTGCACAAGGGTACCATTCTCTGAAATGAGGACACTGCGGGAGGGTCTTGTTTGGTAGATATGGTAGGCAGAATAATGGCCCCCCAGAGATGTCCAAATCTTATCTCCTGGGACCTGTGAATATGCTCCCTGGGATGGCCAAAGGGGCTCTGCGGGTGTGACTAAAGTAAGGATTTTGAAATGGGAAAGTTTCCTAGATTATTATCCAGGAGGGCCCAGTGTAATCAAGTGTCCTTATAAATGGGATGCAGGAGAAGCTGAATTCAGAATTGGAAGACGCAACCCTGCTGGATTTGAAGAGGGAGGAAAGGGCCATGAACTCACAAATGCGGGCTGCTTCTAGTAACTGGAAAAGGCAAGGAGACAATTCTCCCCCGGAGGGGAAGAGCTCTGTCACCTTGATTTTAACCCAGTGAAACTTATTTTGGACTTCTGACCTCGAGAACTCTAAGATAATAAATTCGTGTTGTTCTAAGCTACTGTTTGCAGCAATTTGTTACCTACTGGCAATGGGAAAACAGGATCTCTGAGTCACAAGCCCCCTTCCCCTACTTCTGTCTTTCTACCTGCAGTTTTCTTATTGCTTTCACTGAATTCCCAGTACTAGAGCTTATGCTGATCTTGTGCCTGAAGCTTTTTGTTTGCTTGTGTGTTAGCTTTACACAGGACTGTGGAGGTCACATTGTTCAATCCTCATTTTAGAGATACTTACAAAGCCTGGGATGTGGGGGCAGGGAGGATGGCTTGCTCAAGGTCAGTCAATCATTGGGTGGCGCTGCTGGGGTTAGAATTCAGGTCTCTGGACTCTTGAACCAAAGCTTTCTCTACCACCTTGCACAGAGCAGGTTCAGAACCACCCCCTTTCCTGAAATAGTTCCAATGTCTACACCGTTTTTGACTCCTGACCACATCTGCCTCCACTAGCTGACCTCTCTCTTCTGGCTGCTACCCTCAGTCCTAGCTCCTGATGGAAGCCCCCACTGGCTATTCCCACCTACTGGGAATGCCCAGGAGCCCAAAAGAGTGCTGACTATGTTGTCACAGTGTGCACTGCATTTTGTTGCCATGGTTGCCTTGCTCGGATGATTTGTTTGTTAGCATCACGTGGCTACAAATGCCCAGTGCCTAGGATAAGTCTCCTAAGTTATTTAACCTAATAAGACCTCTTGCTGCAATGAATGGTCTGGAGTATTTATTTGCCTCCCTTTCTGTTTCTTCGGAATTAAGGCAAAACAAAGGGATGTTTTCATAAATGCAAACCAAATACTTCCCGCATGTGGGCAAACACATGCCTGAATGTTGCCTGAGCTGCTGGTTAGCTCCTCCGTCAGCCAGATGGCCTGGGACCCAACCACTGAAGTGGGGGAAGGAGTCGCCTATCTTGTGGCCCCAGGAAGGTAGCACAGCTTGTACCCAATTTCATGCAGTTTTGGAGTTGAAAAGGACAACATGAAGTCAGCTAATCAAATCCCCTGCATTCAGGTGAATAATAAATTACAGAAAACAGGGAAGCCCATTGTTGCAGCTAGTTTAAAACCCCTTCAGGAGCAAACATTTCATAACCTTCCTTGAAAAAATTCAGAGTCAACACTAGCCATTTTAAAGCCCCAGGCAGGATTCCTGAAAATGAGCCCAGCACCTCCACCTGTCCACATGTCTGCAAACCTCGCTGGATGGACACCTTCAGATCCCCAGTCCTACAGCCTCGCCCCCACCCACAATTACAGTGACTTCTGGGCTCATGCGGCAGAAGTGTCACATGACTCATTTGTTCAGGGTTCAGCTAGAATCACACCTGCCAGATGGGCAGAGCAGGAAATAGGGGAAAGGTGCCAATGACCTAGGACCAGGCTGGGAATGGGGCAGGTCACATAGTCAATGGCAGTGTTTAAACTCGGAGCTTCATAGGCTTTACCTCAGATTTGCCTCACTGTATCAGCTACTATAGGGATACAAAGATGAATAAAATACTACCTTTGCCTTTCAGGGATTTATAGTTAAGTAACTTCGAGAATTCGGGAAGAAGCTGCTTAAAAATGGTGTTAAAATGCCTCAGAGTTCACATAAAACAAATGTGTTATGAGATACACAGGGGTCAACGGAAAGATGATGTTTTAAGTGCACAGGGCTTAAACATAAATTAATGATCAAGGTCTACTTCTTATTAATGAGGTTGAATCAGGAAATTTCTACAAAGCTAATCATCTCAAAGGATTTTTTAAAAAAGATTTTATTAATTTATTTGATAGAGAAAGAGCGCAAGCAGGGTAAGTAGCAGAGGGAAAGGGAGAAGCAGGCTCCCCGCTCAGCAGGACGATCCCAGGGCGCTGGGATCATGACCTGAGCCGAAGGCAGCCACTTAATCGACTGAGCCACCCAGGCACCCCATCTCAAAGGATTTTGATCACAGTACTCTCCTCTCCAAAAACTATCAGTGACTCCTTCCTGCTCAGAAGATAGTCTCCAGCTTGGCCCTGGCCTTTCCAACACTTATGGTACTCAGCACAGTGGCCTACAGGGCCCAGACATTCAAATTCAGTTAACTTGGCAAAAATCACACAGGTAAGGCTCTAAACACCTGTCCAATTCCTCTTTTTTTTCCAGGCCCAGTGAATATATTTCCCAGCTCATTTTCCCTTTACCCACCTACAATTTAATTTAATTAAATATTTCTTAAGTGTCTGTTGTATATACTAAGCTTGGAGCCAGAGCTATGAAAACGAAGAGACTCTGTGACAGAGGACAGGAGATCAACTTTCTGTGCACAACTACAAACGCAATTTTAGGAGTAACGTTATGGTCTGTTGCCTTGCCAGCCTCTGTGAAGGTAGTATCTCTTCTACCTCAAGCCAATTCAGCCCAAGCTTTGAATCGCATCACTTCCTAATTCTTCTGAGTCTGGCTCCAGCCATTATTCTCCCTCAGATGTTATTACCCTCCCCTTTTCTACGGGATATTTTAAGTCACTGTATTCTTGTTTGTAAAAGTCCAAAATATACTTAAGCCCTTCATTCCCTTCCAGAACTACCCTGTGTCTCCTCGCATGTGGAGCCAAGTTTCAGGAAAGAGTTGTCTATAAGTTCCTCCTGCTCTCATTTTCCTCCTTCACATCCATTACCAAGGGAAGTGGCACTGGGGAAAGCAGTAAAGGGAGTTTCAAGAGGGAGATCACTAAATGTCCTCGCAATGTCAAGTAGGAAAAGAACTGGAAAGAAACCATTGGTTCTGGCATCTCGGAGTCATGGGTGCCCTTTTCTGAGAGTCATTTTAGTGGACTTATATTAGAGAGGATTAGGGAGGAAACAATGTTAACAGAGAATGGAGTGGACGACTCATATAGAAAACGGCACTGAAGGAAACGGCAGAGTCAAGGGGAGATTTTCTTCTAGATAAGGTTTGACCTGAACACAGTAGTGTTTTGTTTTATTGTTGTTGAGTTTTGACTGAAGGGAAGGCTCTAGCCAAAGGAAGACTGAAGATAAAGGGAGATCAGTGGAGGCAGGACAAAACAATTTGCACAGAGAGGTAGAAGGATGAGTGTGGGAAAGCTGACTGGTCTTCACTTGGTTAGTATGGAAGGATGAGTGAATTATTGACCAGGGGACCCAAGGGAAGAAGTTCTCTCTTAATGGCCTCTATCATTCCCGTGAAATATGGTACCATATTTAAGAACCCCAAAACCCATTCAAACTACTTTCTTTGATTAAAGAAGAGATGAGGAAAGGGGAACCTGGGTGACTCAGTCTGTTAAGCATCTGACTTGAGCTCAGTCATGATCTCAGAGTCCTGGGATCAAGCCCCACATCAAGCCCCATATCAGGCTTCAGGTGGCTTTGAGCTCAGCAGGGAGTCTGCTTCTCCCTCTTCCTCTGATCCTCTCCCTCACCCTCCCAAAAAAAAAATATGCTCGCTCTCTCTCAAATAAACAAATAAAATCTTAAAAAAAAAAGATGAGGAAAAAGATTTTTCTTTGAAAATGACAGCTGTTGTATACCACACACTAAATAAAACAGGAGAAGAGATGGAAAAAACAGATGCCAAAGAACCAGCCATATATGGTTCCTTTGAATGAGTCTAGGGAGATGGATGGAAGCAACAGATCATTTGCTAGGGTTCATCTGCACTCAATAAACTAAACCATAAGCTCCAGGAAGGCAGGATGTGTGTTCTGCACTGTGGCATCCATAGTGCCTTCTTCAATACCCAGCCCATAGCAGGTGCTCAACAGTAGTTTGTTCAATGAATGAATAAAATTCAAACTCAAAAGTTTTGTTGAGCTTTTGGATCGGTGTTAAAAATAGCTGGCTTCATGAGCATATCCCCTCATGGGCAAGAAGGGCCCTCTGGCTTAATGCTTTGCTGACACTGTTTTGAAATTCTCAAAAATATGAATCCCAGGCCCCACATTTTCATTTTTCACTGGGCCCCACAAATTATGCAGCCCATACTGGTTAAAAACAACAAAAGCACACATTTCTAAAAAATGTCACCAAATAGATATTTTAGATATCCAGGAATATCAAATTATCATAGAGATTTATCTTTAAAATTAAATAGTATACTTCAGGCTTACCTGAAATTTTGGATCGTGGCTTTTCTTTCTGAAAATATGGTTCATACTCTCTGTAGACAATTTTCTTAAAGGAAGGATTCGAACTAGAAATCAAATACAGAAATTAATTTGAAAGTCATATATGACATCTACATCTCACATCACAAAACAAATGGATTTCTCATGTCCTCAGATATGTAGTAGGAATAATAGTATTTTAATTGTATTTCAGAAATGCAAGGTTTTATAAATATGAATAATACTTGGGGTAAATAAAATAATTATTGATCTCTTCAAGAATATTCTGTTGTGGTAACTGTTCTTTCCCAAATTTAGTCTGCCTTATCTAAACTTGTTACTTAGAATCCGTTTTCTAAAAAAGAACCCAAGATCATTGTGTGAACCCAAACTTTATGCTTAGATTTTAAATGACTAAAAATATAACCAAATTCTTTATGAATAAATACATGGGCTATTTTTTTAACTGATGAATCATATACAGATTTAAATTACTGGGGAACATTATAAAGAACCATTGATTTGCTGGACCCTATTTCAGGTTGAGAAGTTGGAGATGACTAATGGAGTTAAAGCCCTGGGCATTCGTACTGAAAACAAACAAACCAAATGAAAAAGGCAAGTCTTGGAAAATCTAAGTCACTTGTCCAGAGGAGAAACAATGGATAAATGGCAGAACCAAGACTCAAAGAGGTGAAACCATTGTATTCATGGTAAAGAATTCACAGAAAGGGAGGCAGGGAGAGTGGGACCCTCGAACTCTAGATGGGGAAAAATATATGCTTTTATTTTCAATATCTATTACCACACACCTGTAAGTGACTGAACAAGTTTCTTTAGGGAAGTTTCCAAAAACATTTACGTCAGACTTCAGACAAGAATAATAGATATATTCCACCTCTAAAAGGCGTTCTCCTGCTAATATTAGATGAAGTAAGAGGAAAGATCTTTGCTTTGTGCTAAAATACATTTTGGCGAAGAATGCAGTGCTGTATGTTGATCTCCTTACAGTAAGTATCATTCAGCTGTAGGTGCAAGACACTTAGTACAAGTTCTTAGCTTAAGCAGCTAGATATACAGGTTAGATTTTTCATGAGAAAGTACCAGAGGAAAATGACATGATTTGAGATTCAAAAATATTGACAGTTGGTCTCGGTTGTCATTGTATGGTTTTGGCTCAATAATTGACACTAGAGGCATGACTCTTACCAGTACTCTGGAAACTCAACCACAGGATGGGGGGATCAGATCAGCAGACATGGTTCCCTTTGGACTCCCTCCCATGTGAGTCAGGCTTTTGCCCTATGTGGTTCTGCTTCCAGTATTCTGCTTGTTATTTTTCAGAGTTAACTACAGAAGAAAGGACAAACTCGCAAGCATAAGCACAGAGTATCTCAGCAAAGAGCAAGCATGTTAATGTCTGCCCATGAGCAAGAGAAATTAATGTTGGAAAGCCTATGATTTTCTTTGGGGTTTTGGCAGTTCCCTAAGGGCGTTTTTTTGATCTAGATAATCAACTCGAAAAGACAATATTTAAAATGATTTTTTTAAAAAAGGATTTCTTGGGGGCACCTGGGTGTCTCAGTCAGTTAAGTGTCTGCCTTCAGCTCAGGTCATGATCCCAGGGTCCTGGGATCAAGTCTCGCATCGGCTCCCTGCTCAGCGGGGTCTGCTTCTCCCTCTCCTTCTGCTGCTCCCCTTGCTTGTGTTCTCTCTCCCTCTCTCTCTATCTCAAATAAATAAGTAAAATATTTTAAAAACTTTTTAAAAAAGATTTCTTACTGTTACAAGACCAAGACAGTATATAATACACTCCAAAATAACCCAGTTACAAAGCAATTCTTTAAGGGGTTTAATGTTATACACTACCAGACTCTTAAAATAATTATATTATTTCTTGGGAGATTGCTTTGGTTTTGTAATCATAAAAGAGGAACTTGTCTTTCATAATCATTTAAACTGCGATGTTAAGTTAAAAAAACGGAGTCACATTGAGAGGTTTACTAATAAAAAATATAAAAATATAACTAACTGGAAATAGTGAGGAGGTCCTATATTTCGTTTAATTTCTGAGAAGTCTTATTTTTAGCCTTTCCATTAGGAAAAATTTGTAGTTCAAAATAAAGTTTTATTATTTAAGCCACCTTTTAGTTACATAGTGACCAAAAAAAACTAGCCAGGGTAGACTATATCCCAGGGACTAAAAATGTGAAAAAAATGAAGAGTCACATGAAGCGGAAGAAAAGGTAAAAGAACAAAAATGTTGCATGTTAATGGACTGATGATGGTTTGAAAGTCATTTGTAAGACTACAACAAAATTATGGCAATTTGGCAATTGGTATTGAACAATCTGCTTAAACAAAGGACGATGTGTACTTCTTTAATTTTAGAAGATGAAGTTATGTGGAGGACAGAATAAATAATATGTACAGAAGTTCTATAAAAATCGTAGGCTACTAAAACTCTGGAATGGGACTTTGCAGGAAGGGCTAATGAGGGGGTTAGTGCCTGGTGCTTTTGAATCAACCAATTTTTAAACCAACAATCAATCACACTAACAAAACTATATTAACAAATTCTTCAAACATTGTCAAACGGAATATCTAACACACTATTATTAGAAACAAAAATAGCAATTTTGTTTAAAAATGAGCGATAAGGTCTTTTTTTTTTTTTTTTTTAAAGCCATGGAATTGCAAAAGGAAAGCTTCCTGAAAAGAAATAGTTTCTCTTCCCTAGAGAAGCCCACCAGGACACCAGACCTGCCTCACCTCAGACTGGTGGGCTCAGGGCGGTAGTTCCAGCTGATGCCCTGAGCAGCCACGTAGAACTGCCTTAGCCGCGCCGCTTCGGCCCCCCGGCTTCCCCAGCCTGCGCAGCTGGCGCTCAGGACCACCAGGACCCAGAGGCGCGGGCAGCCTGGGGCCATGGTTCCTTTCCTGCTCCCGGGACCCGGACCAGCTCACGTCCGCCGCCGTCCGCGCTGCACGCCGCAGGGTTGCTGGGCGTCCCGGCTGCAACGCGCTCCGGGAGGCTGCGGGTGGCGGTGTCCTCCTTCCCTTCGGCTCCCGCGGGTGCCAAGGCTGCAGGAGCCTGGGGCGGTCATCCCCTCCTAGCGCCCTTCCAGGAAGGGGGTTGGCTAGGTCACCGCCCCCATGACAGGAGGTGCAAGGCAGAGCAAGCAGATTCGTGAATGTTTTACCACAGGTGCAGAAAGGGCAGAGATCAGAGGCTCTCGCAGAAGGCGCAGTGCCCGGGGATTCGCGAGCCACAGGCAAAACTGTTCCTACGCTTGCACCTGCTGAGGCCACTGGGGCAGTAGCCCCTCACCACCCACCGTAAAAACAGCCAGGTCCAAGTTTACATTTGCCAGACCCTCACCTCATGCCTTTAACTGCATCAGTTTCCCTGTATCGGCGAAAGGGGACTATGCCGTGTTAGGGGCACAGAAACATTGTAATTTCAGGCGAGGAAGCAAGGGGATGAGTACCAGAACGGGGCCTGCAGGGCCTGGACCACTTTACTGATTTCCACCCATGCACAGTTCTGTCTTGATGAGGGCCAGTGGCCACAAAGGCAGCAGAGCGGACTCAGTCCTACTTACCAGCTGTGCTGGCCTGGGTAAGTGACTCAATCTCTTTAGAGCTCAGCTTTGACATCTGTACAAGAGGGTGATAAGAATCTTTCCCAGATGCAACTGTCGGGAGGATAAAAGGCTATTGTGAGGTGTCTAATTCCTGGCAGTTGGAGCACAGAGCACATGTGTATTACTATGATTATGGTTTTCCTGCCTCAGGAGCCCCTTGTGTTTCTTGGAGGATCTGGCTGTTGCACACTGCCTTAAGATCTTATTTTGCTATTGATAGAATATCTGAGAATTACATTGTCTGAAGTATCATTATAACTGTCCGAGATTCCCCGAATCTGATTCCTCCCAGCTTCTGGCTTTTTTTTTTAAAAAAAGATTTTATTTATTTATTTGGCAGAGACAGCGAGAGCACAAGCAGGGGAAGTGGCAGACAGAGGGAGAAGCAGGCTCCCTGCTGAGCAAGGAGCCAAATGTGGGCCTCGATCCCATGACCTGAGCCAAAGGCAGATGCTTAACCGGCTGAGCTACCAGGTGTCCTCCAAGCCTCTGTCTTAAAGATGGTTCATCTCAGTAGATTTGATACGTTGTAATCTGGCATCTCACATGAGGTCTCCATGATGTCAGGCTCCTCCATACTTCACTCCTCCTACACACAGTCCTGTCTGCTCCTACGCTGATATTACTCTGTCCACTTAGAATATCCATCTCTCCCCCTTTGCTGAACTCTGTTTCAGTTCAGAGTCCTACCTATCTCCTTAATTCTGGACTCAAATGGACTTTTCCCATTTTATGAACTACAACACTATTCAAGTATGATACTCATATTGAGTGCCCTCTATTACTTTGTACGGGTATCTATTGTTTCCCCAATTAGATTATAAACTGTTCAAGAGCAGAACAGTGCCTTACTCTTCTATATCTATAATAGCAGTAGTTGAAAGGTGACAAACCATCAGAATTCCCTGGGGGAAGCTTTTACAAATTGTAGATTCTGACTCAGACACAGGGCTGATAACCATTGTCCTTTAATACTCAGCCTAGTGATTGGCACAAGATAAGGAGAGATAAACAGTATATGAGAGAAATTTTTTAAAAAGCTATGTGTCCTTAAATCCCAAATTTACTGCCAAAGTTCTTGCAAATTATTGTAACCCTTAGTTAGACTGTTTTACAATTTTTATTTGCATATTTACCCACGTGTTATTCATTCTTCATGACATGTTTATTGTCTCACATTTCACAGAGACAAGACAACTGTATTGTTTGGCTCTTTTTTTTGCATCAGTTCCAGATAACTACTATGTAACTTTCAACAATCTACATATTAAACATGTGATTTAATAAATAACATCTGTTCTTCCTTATAGGGCATTCAGGTGATGAGGATTTTTTCTGCTTGTCTGATTTTCTGATTTTTTCTTCTTTGATTCTGTGGGGGGGGCAGTGATATGGTATATATTTGCTGACTGAATGAAGGGTCAAGTTGTAATTGGACATCAGTAACTGTGCATTACATTGATGTAAACAAAATGATGTACACAGATCTTATTGAACAAAACATCAAATAATAGAGCATGGCATTTGGGAAGAATCTTTTTAATTGCACATTTGAATTTTGGTCTTGAGGTTCTTTTGGGGAGAGTGACCAGTGGAGGGAAGGTGACATGTGCCTTCCTATCTTGATTCTTGGTCTCTGCACTCTCTGGTGCCATCCAGAGGCCTCTCTGGAGGCCTTGCAGCGGGCGTATAATAGGCTTCATAAACAGCAAGCACTGGAGACCCCAGAAGATCTTATAGAAATTCCCTCAAGTCACAGACACCACCTGCCTTCCAACAAAGTAGAGTATGCCTTCCTCCAATCCCAAAATAAAGAAACATTTTTATTTTTCCACAGTCTGGTCTTCTGGTAAGTCAGATGCTTCAGTCTCTGGTTAATTAGTCTTTCAAGAGGGGACAGCTGGGCAAAGCCCACAGACCACTGCAGACATTCAGTCCTGGCTTCTGAGGCTTAAGGAAGAGGTGGAGCAGGAAGGGGTTGTGGGTGGAGAGTTTGGGCTTGTGACACAATCTTTCTGCTCTCATTCAGAACTAATCTACAGGAAACTCCATGTCCTTTTTTAACAAGTATTTCCAGAAAACTGCAGCAAATATGCTACAGTAGAAGTCAAGTCTGGCAGGAAGCCTGATGTTCAAAAATAGGATCCCATGGAGGTTGAGTGAGGAGACCAGCAGGACAGGTCTCTGAAAATGAGACAAAAGAAATGAAAATAATTATATTTTCTTTAAAAGCAAGCAAGCCAGCTAGCTGTCAGCATATCTGTCCCCCGAGGATCAACATAATCTCTTTCTAGATCCAGATATTCTGCCATCTAGGGAGAATACTCAACTACTCACTGAGCTTTGGGGAAGGGAGAAAGCATAAGATTATTTTTGTTTTCTCAGCAAGTCACATAGGGGACTGGCTCCATAAAAGACTGTAAAATTTTTCCAGTAGTATGACTTCTGGTTATCAAGCAAGACCATGGTGTTGTTAATACCTCCAAGCAGCCATTAATGGGAATGTCATACATCCTGAAATAAGTTATATCTTATTAGAACATTTCTAGCCTGGAGGAAATGGAAATCCTCATATAAACTTACTTTCTATTGTCACTCTACTGACATATCTTGTCCCCTGCTACCAACACAATTTCCTTCAAGGCTTAAAAACTTAATACATGCCTAAAATTTAACTCTGACCATATAATGAAACATCAAGATTTAATATTTGTTCTCTTTCCCCTACTGTTCTATTTCCTTCAGAAATATCTTTATGGGCAACTTACCTTAAGGGCTCGGGTCAAATGCAGCATTTGTAAAAACTCCGTATGTTCCTAGGTGGCTAAAGAACAGATATACAAAGATGATTTGCCATATAGTGCTTGGGCCTTGACCACAGTCCAGCACATACTTCCTGCAGAGACCGTGCATTACCACCCCACCCTGGAATTCTGCTTTAAAAGGGAAACGAAAATAAATGCCTAAGAGACTTTTGAGATCCCACTTAGCTGCTCTGGGTAATCTGCACTGCACTTACACCCACACAAAGTTATTGTTGATGCTCTAGGTACCTGAATTCCTGCTATGCCTCTTCTTAGTGAGAAGAAATCCTTAGAAAATACCCAGTCTTGATATTTGATCATCTGGCAACAGTTTTCAAAGAATGGTAGTACTGCCTCCTACGGGTGTTTTTTAATTTTCATAGTGATCAAGAATTCTACTGACATTTAGTGGGAAAGGGCCAGGGATGCTGGATATCCCAATAGGCACAGGACACAAAAGAATTATCCTACACTCAATACAATTTTAGAACAACTACTCAGTATTCCTATAGGTGAATGATCCCTGAGCCTTGAATTTAACTGCTTTAAATATAAATAATATATTTTTTGCATCTTTTAGAATACAATTGCCATGTGAGTTGAGGGAAGATTATGACAGGTTTTCCAACCCTTTACCAGAGCCATTCATCATTTAAAAAAAATCAGGTTGGTGTTGGCAATGCCGCTGATCCTGTTTGAGCCACTGATACAGTATTCCTGACTGTTGGTCTTTGTGGTTGTGAACCAAAAGGTGCAAGCCTCTAATGACCTCATAGCATCCACTAGAGTAGTGCCTCAGCTTTAGCGTTTTATTTCTATTATATATCACTTTCCCTTTTATTTCTCTTTTACTTTATAATTAGAGCCCTTACCGATTTTTAAAAATACTATGTGTGGTTAGTATATGTTATCTGTGTATTTTACTTTAGAATTAGTAAAGGGGACATTGCAAAAGATTTGTTGCAGGAAGGGGGCATTATGTATAATCATTCTGACATATTACAGTGAATTAAAAAGTCGAACTAGACAAATTTACTTAATCAAGAAACATGTCTGTCTTACCTTTGAGGGTTCAAGGGGCTTTCCCCAAAAAAAAGAATAAACAAGAAGACACAAATGATCAGTTGAAAAGAAACAAAAAAACTAGTAGAAGGAGAAAGGTCATCAGTGGTAGGAGTTATTGGGGAAAGTTGGTGTACTGATTTTCAGATGGGTTCATTGTTAGGAGTATACTGAGAACAAGCTCTCTCTGAGAGGTAGAACCTGTGTTAAGTTAAATTAAACATTTGACAGTATGTAATCCAGAGTCTTCTCATCTTTCTTCTCTTCTCATTCAGTGACAACCTCTTCTTTTTCCTCTGGTCCCTGCCTTCAATGTCTTGGCTATTTTTGGTTGTTGTTGATATTCAGATCATTGGTTCTTGAAACCCATTACTTTGGCACTCAAGGCCCCCTATCATTGCAACCTGTGTCACACTCCCCCAGCCACTAATTGGGCAAGTTAATCACATAAACAAATCCATACCAACATAACAAGGGCTGTTTTCCTTCTCTGGTGACATAGGTGACCAGGGCCTCCTATCTTAATCCGAACAATGGACACCGAGAGCGGAAACTTTAAATATGGCAGCAGGCTTGTCAATCATCCCATGGATAGATAAAAGGAGAAAATCATCTCATGGCTCAATAAATTTAGAAAATATTAGATCAAATGAAGATGAACAAGTATATTTATTACAGGGCATTATTGAGCCTTCAAAGTGATAATGAATGTGCATTTTGAATTTGCAGGACATGTACGCAACATTTTCCTATTATTTGACCACAGAATCTTAGAATATCTCTGATAAAGGTTAAAATCACCTTTGGACAGGTCAAGGAAAAATTCCCCATTCTCACAAATGAGTATTTATTATTAAAGATATTGGAGGATGGGTGGCTGCTCATCCCTCTTCATGGTCTGGAGAGTTCTCTAGCAATGTCTCAAAACTGAAGAATGATCTCGGGGGAAATGCAGGAATAGTGTGATTCCTACATGGTTATGGAGAGTAGGGTCTAGGTGGTTAGGAGCTCTTGCCTCTGCCTTCTGGATTTGGTTAAATAAACACAAATGTTACACAGAAAGATGGTTGTAGCTCTTTAGTTTTTAAGAAGAGTGTTATGCTTTGTCCTTTGTCCTACTAACCCATTCATAAGAGAGTATATGAAGGAACTTTAGAAAGCCAGCCTCAATATAATGGTGGCTCTGTGAATGGAGAGAGCTTAAAACTATGAAATAAGTAGTTCTGCCCTTGAGCAGTTAAGAATGGGTGCTGAAAGTCCTCAGATCCACGAGAACTCCATCAGGTATAACAGCCATTCTCAGTTACCTGTACTGGAGCATTTGAGCCTTCCTGACCCCTCAGATGCCCCTAGTTACTTTCCATGAGAAATGATGAAGAGACACATTAGCTACGAAAAGAGGTTTCTGAGCTCATGGCTGAGCATCTGGAGCAGAAAGAGAAACACTGTTTTAACCCTTAAGAGATGGTTCCCTTCTTATTCTCTTAGGCCAGAGCTCCTTTTTTGATGAACAATCTGGTAAACACAGCTCCCTTATGGAGGGTCTTCCTCCATTAGGTCATGTTCCTGCTTCAGTACTGCATTAGTTCCACACATTTTGAAAGAACGTACAGATGTCCTGGTGTATCACACCAGGTCATGACTAAGCAGCTGCTCTTCATACCTCTAGCTTCATTTCTCGTGTCCTCCAGAAGCACTTGATTTTTGATTCAGAAGCACTAACTACCTAACACCATTGATCAATAAATGATCATCACATAAGAGAATGATGAAGGAGAAGAGCATGACACTTTCCAGTGAATCCTGGTGATAACTAAGTTTACGTAGACCAGAGGTCCCCAAATGCCAATACACCAACTGGCCTCATCAGAATTTGGAGGGGAGGGTTTTGAGAAATTCAGATTTCCACGCCAATCTCAGATTTCCAGGCCAATCCCCCTATACGAGGATCTGTACTTTTATAAAGATGATTCTGATGGGCAGTCAGCTCTCAAGATGACTTCGCTTGGGATTGTTTTCTTTAAAGACAAATGTTTTCAAACATGAACTACTGACGTTGTAGTTTCACAGCCCTTTCCCAAATGACAAGAAAGAAGAAAAGAAGAAGACTCTTTCCTATTTACCTTTTTGTCTGAAGCGCTTTCTTAGCAGAGCCAGCAATGTCCCACACGTCACCAAACCTATTGTAGAAGCCACTGCTCCACCAAAGTAAGTCAGGGCTTGCTGGATTGTCAACGGCCCTGCTGTAAAACAAACACACATGCAGGGCGTAAGAAGTGTTTTGTGCAAAAGGCCATCATTCTTCCAGAAGGGTCCCAAGGATTGTGAGATCATGCAGGATCATCAAAGGTCCTGGAAGGGGTGACAACCTGGCAGGAGAGATCTGGAAGCCATAAAACTACAGCAACAGTATGGGAAGCAGGGCCTGATTTTATTCCTAATGCTTAAATATCAAACATAGTGCCCAAAGGCATCAGGGGAAGGACCTAATAAAGTAAATAAAATGATTGAAGAAGTGGAAGTTTAAGCAAATAATGGTTAATTTTTGGGGGGACCAATCAAAGATTCAGTTATACAACAAAATGTAGTCATGACAAGCTATAGAGAAAACAATGAAAAGTAAAAGGAAGGTGGATGAAATAAACCTTACAAAGAAATGAAGCTTAATTTAAAAAGATCTATGTGTTTTTAGAGGTATGTGGTAAACAAAATTCTTCTGAGATAATAAATTAGGAATCTGCATGAAATAACCTCCAGTTAAAAATGTTCTCCTTTGACACATCTGAACTCTGATAAAGGAGGGGTGATTGCCTACACAGAGTCACTGAATTTAATTCCCACTGCTCTGTGGAAGGCAAGGATTTATCATGAAACATTTATTAACGCAGGGGAAACCCAGTGATGGAAAGCGAGACCACTGTCAGAAATACACAAAAAAGAAACACTGATTTTGTTACATTCCTTATCAAAGTGACTTCCTAACCCATATGGAAAATATACCTTGGCAGGCTGGCATGGGAGTTGACCACTGGCCATTCTCTTGGCATGCTGTTCTTGCTGAACCATTAAGTAACTGGCCCTCTGGACAATGGAAGCTACAGGTTGATCCATAGCTGAAATTTCCCCAGGGGTTGGAGCAGTTCATCATACCTGGCTCAATAACATGCAGCTCAGAGCATTTGACCGCTGCAGAAAAAAAGAATGCAGGAAAAACAGACATGTAGAATGAAGGTAACAGAGATTATGGTTTCATTTGTAACCTGGTTAGCATTGCCAGCAGATGAGGTAGAATGTAAAACATCAGAAAGGAGATGAGCCACTTCTGACATTCACACCAGCTCCTCCAACATTGCACATACTACGATGTCCACTCGGAGAACGTTAGCCAAAGAACTAGGAGGGGCACAGAGCAGCATTCAATAGATACCTACTAATGGCTTGATCAATCTTGCCTATAAAAATACTGTTTTCAAAATTTCACTTCTCAAAAAATATTACTGTTCTAAGTGCTATTATGACTACCACTGGTAAATAGCTGGCATGTCAGCACGTGTTTATTAAAATACTTAATAATTGTTCAGCATAACTGCTTCTGGAAGTTTGAAGGAAGTAGAGACTCCCTTCACCAAACTTTCCTTCGGGGAACTTTAGGTTATTGTCCCTAATTTGCAGATAGGAAACTAAAGCTCGGGAAACTAACTCAAATAAATATTATTGAGCAATAGTGACATTTGCAAAGCACTACTCTGGTCTTCATGGGGAATACAAAGATGGAAGAGACATAGTACTTCATGTATGGGGTGATAGCCCTTCCAGAGGTATCATGCATGGCGTATCTTTTTAGTTAGGTTTCCATTATGAAAATATGGGATGTTTACACTATCACATAATTAATGGAATTGCAACTTGTATTTCACAATTCTTATAGTTGGTTTCATGTTCGGCATGCTTGTTTTTTCACACATTTGGACATTTGCAAATGTTTCCTACTTTATGTCTTTGAGATCAGGGTGTTCTCTTGTGACATAGCAGGGGGAGAAGTGACATGCCTATGGCACATTACTTCTAACTGGGATTGGTGTAGATTTCATGGGGAGCTGACATGTGAAGTAGTCGTTGGGGTTGGATGGGATTTCAACAGGCAGGTACAACCATGAGCGTGGGCAGGTGGAAGATAGCATCAGAACTGCCTGTTCCTTTCACGTTACCTCTGCATGCCGGAATTCCTGCTGTCCATTGTCCTGAAGGTCTGCATCTGAGAGCACTGTCTCCCATGAGTGTGAATCCAGCTTTGCATCCAAAGTAACAAGTGGTATTCAAACCAAAGGTTCCCAGATGATGCCTACAGGACACTGTTCCTTGCTCTGGAGTGATGAGGGCTGGGCATCGAACCTCTGAAGTATGAGCTGATACTATGCCTGCTTGAAAACCTGTTTCCATTTAGAGAGCTCCCAATAAAAGGAGCATAATGAAGTTAAGACTGACATGGAATAATTGCCTTCCACTCTTCTTGTAATAAGGGAGACTCTAGAAGTAGCCCCTCAAGGAAGTTAAGGAAAATTGTTAATCTCAGGTATGGAAAACCAGATGAGAAAAAAAAGTACTTAAAAATATCGCTGGAGAGGGGTGCCTGGGTGGCTCAGTCAGTTAAGCATCCGACTCTTGATTTCAGCTCAGGTCATGAGATCGAGCCCCACGATGAGCTCCATGCTGGGCGTGGAGCCTGCTTAAGATTCTCTCTCTCCCTCTCCCTCTGCCCATTCTCCCATCCTGCTCATGCCCTTTTTCTTCATCTCTCTCTCCCTTAAAAAAAATATATCCTTGGAGAGATAATTCTCTAGACCAGAGGAAGAATGGGGGGTGGGGCATGATGTCAATGTTACCAATATTTAAAAACAAAACAAAATAGAAATTTAAGAGTCGGTGCAGAAATGTAAGAAATTCAGTAGAAAGCAAAATATGCATAGGTCAATTGCTTGCCCTTGCTGGTTTGTTGGGAAGTGGCATTGCCTGCTGGCCGAAGGTCAGCATGAAATGTGAGGTGTGCATGATGCCACTGGCTTTGTCACTAACTTTCCATGTAGCAGAAAGATGCTCATTGACCTTTCTAAGACCTCAGTTCCTTGATTTGAGAACTTGGATCAGTGACTCCACCCTTTGTACTCCTCCTGGCAATGAAGCAATGGAGACCATTTAATCAACCCAGTAAAGGTCTCTGAGAAAAAGAGGCCAAAATTATGAAAGAAAATTTCTGCTTAAGAATCACTATATCTTGGGGCACCTGGGTGGCTCAGTTAAGTGTCTGCCTTCAGCTCAGCTCATGATCCAGGGGTCTTGGGATTGAGCTCTGAGTTGGGCTCTCTGCTCAGGGGGAAGCCTGCTTCTCCCTCTTCCTCTGCCCCTCTCCCCACTCGTGCTCTCTCTCTCTCTCTCTCTCATAAACAAAATCTTAAAAGAAACAATATATTTTTTATTCACAAAAATAAGAAGTCCTGTCACTCCTTATAAATTTTTAAATCCATAGGCTCTGTTTCCTAGATTCCAATAGATAACCCATTTTAAAATAAGAGAGAGAGCTTTCACAGTAATAAAATTATAATGCATACCTGTCACATAGTAAGAGCTTATATAAGTGTTTGTTATTTTTGAAGAAATTTCCGGGAGAAGAGCTGTCTCAGTGAGTGTATACTATTTTACCTTCACAGGTTGGTGGAGGTGCTGTCCATTTTCCAGAAGCTGTGCATTCAACATTATTGGGTCCCTCCAGCTTAAAGCCCTTGTTACAGGAGAAATGACAGGTGGAGCCAACCCTGAATTCCTTATGAGTGTCAGAACAAGCCAGGCTTCCCCACTCTGGAGCAAATAATTCTGGGCACTGGATGGCTGGAGAGTCAAAGAAATTATATCACAATCTTTAAGTTTATTCAGAAGCCAGGTTTGCACTGAATTCATTCATTCACATATCCAACAATTATTTATGGAGCACCTACTATGTCAGGTATTTTGCTAGGCAGCAGGTATTCCACAATAAATAAGATCATTTCCTACAGTGGCAAAAAAAAGCATGGTGGGCTCACAGATGAAAGTACAGGTAGAAGTTACAAAAATGAAGAAGTCAAAGATTTAAGCAGTCATACTTGAGAACCCACAATTTCATCCTCTTCTCTATGCACCTCTGCTTCAGAGACCGCACCTCCCATGGCTCTCTCTATCCTGTCTGGATGGTGTGGTCCAGGATTCCACTTCTGCCCTTCCTCCTGCCTACAACTACTTCCTCTTAGCCTGCCATCTCCTCAACCTCAACACATCTAAAAATGCAATGACCATCTTCTGTTCTAAACTATTTCCTCCATTTGGATCCCCAGGCTATTTTTTAATACCACAGTTCCCTAGCACAGGAAAGTTGAAAACCTCCTGGTCAAGCTAGATTAGTCCCTGGAAATTCCCTGAACTGACTTCATGTGTACTTGCCTCTGGTTCTTGGCCCATGCTGCCCTAAATTTCTTTCTATTTTCACTGAAAAAAAAAATCCTACCCATCCCATAGGATCTAACTGAACACAGCCTTTGTAGAGCCTCTGCTGATCACTGCAGCCCAAAGGCTTCTCCTCTGAACATATCAGTTTTTTGTTTGAACTCATATGCTGTCTTACCACCTGCCATATTTTCCCTCACCTACTGGATGGAATGCTTCTAAAATCCAATAGGCAGGGGTACCTTGCTGGCTCAGTTGGAAGACCATGTGGCTTTCGATCTTGGGGTTATGAGTTCGAGACCCACACTGGGCATAGAGATTACTTACATAAAAAAAAAAAAAACCTTAAAAAAAATCCCAAGAACCATGAAGCTTTGTGTCTTTCACAGTTCACACTGCCGGGTCTCAAGAGGTGGTACTCAGCAATCATTTGCTAAGTGGGTGAATAAAAGAATTTTTAATTTAATCAACCATTTACCTCAAAAAATTTTTAGAAAGTATTGTAGTTACTTATTTCTGTTCAGATCCTATCTTTGTCTCCATTAAATTCTCTGATAAGACTATTATTTATCATCAAATATTTGACAAACTGAGTAACTATTCTTTCTTTAAGTCCAAGCTATTGAACGCCTTGGTCAAGTCAGGTTCATTTTGTTTAGCACTTTTGCCTTAAAAACAAAACAAAACAAGACCTCTTGGTCTTATGTGGTACCTCATGGAAAAGTGATATTTCTGGCCCTTACATATTGGCCCAAGTGTTTTTCAGGGACAGGCTATTTGTGAAGAGATTATGACTCCTTATTGCATGAATCCATTCAAATAACCAAAGTAACATACTGAATTTCAGTTTAGAATGCTCAAATTTTTGAGTAATTAATAAATCCATCCCTGGCAGATCAATTTCACTTACCAAACATTTATTAAATATGTCTATCAGTGTAAATCATAGACATTAAATCACCTGTGAACATTCTCACTAAAACAAATTTTTTTAGAATCTCTCGGGATTTTATATTTAAGCCCAAGAAAATGTATGTCAGCTTCAGGACAGTGGGGACCTTGTCAGCTCTTCCCAACACTACATCCCAGGGAATAGGGCCTGGCACCTAGTAGGGGTTCTAAAATGTTTGTCAAATGAACGAACAAGTTAGTGAGCACAATTTAATTTTGATGCATTCTAACGAGTGTGTTTATGTCTGAAAAGAAATAAGAGGAGTTACTGTTTGAAAAAAATGACTTATGTGACATTTAGTATAAAAAGAGAATTACTACAGCATTAAATCCACTTGGGGGCTCTTGCTTTGATCTCAGTTTTGTAGGTCTTGTTCTGCCAAGATTATAGACACACGTTTTTGTTTTGTTTTGTATATGAAATTCTCTGAACCCTCTTAGGTAAGAATTAACCTTATCCAAACAAAGGTCTCTGTATAACTTTAAGGATTTGACTTTGAACCAAGTAAGGAAGTATATTTTCCTGCCTGAGAGGCAGCCTTGATGAGGTACTCAGAAGCCTAACCCCAATCTGGCATATGGTGGGTGCTCAGCAGACATGGCTGAATTACATTTGTGAACTTGCCAAGGAAGCTGCTGGAATGGAGGGGACTAGGGCAGACGTAGAGGAAGAGATTTTTACCAGGGAGTGACCTCTTGGGTAACTTGAAAAATAGTCATATTCTTAAGCCTACTGTAAAACTTCACCAAAACCTGAGTAATTAATTACAAGAATAGAAAACTAATAAGAATTGCTTTTATCACGTGCTTAGTACTCTATTTTTGTGGGCTTCCAAGGCAGTGCTGTCTATCATAATGACCTTCATTGATGTTTTTCTGAAATCCATGAAGTAAGTGTGTATGATTGCATGTAAATTCATGAATTGTTGGGTTCCCTGGCAGTCTGTCATCAACTGACAGCAGATTGGTTTATATTATTTTAAATAGATTTAGTAAATTCTTCCCTATATCTTTGTATTATCTCTTTTTATTTGTTAGATATAATTTTTGTCAAGAAACTTTTGGAAAGAAGATACAGTATAAATAATAAATTTCTAGGGGGTGCCTGGGTGGCTCAGTTGGTTGAGCGGCTGCCTTCAGCTCAGGTCATGATCCTGGAGTCCCGGGATCGAGCCCCACATCAGGCTCCCCGCTCAGTGGGGAGTCTGCTTCTCCCTCTGACCCTCTCCCCTCTCATGCTCTCTCTCGCTCTCTCTCTCTCAAATAAATAAATAAAATCTTAAAAAATTTCTAAACTCAAACTTTAGAAATAAAGACTAGGCCCCCCATGGAGTCAGAGAAATGTTGGAGGAGTAGAGGAAAAAAAACAGAGATGTGAGCCAGGCCAGAGTTTAGAGGGTAAGAGTGTGCTATCTTATAGGACTTGGATGAGCAGGGACATGGCAGAAGAGCAGAGCTAGGACTGGGACTTGGAACAAAGACCCTCCTTACCCCACTAACATGAGGCTGGTCACTATGAGTTGGGTCCAGTGGCCAAATGTGGTCTCCAGAGTGTCAATAACAAAGTGATTAGGAGGGCAGTAATATCAGTCAAGATAGTGGCCCAACAGTTGGGGGCATAAAGGTCATAGCAAACAGAGATAAGCAATTCAGGAAAGGACTTCAGGTCCTGGAGGAGAAAGGCAGTGAGGAGACTTGGATATCAGGAAGCGCCCAAGTCCCAAAGGGCCCAGGGACTGGTGTGTTCTAACTAAAAAGGAAATATCTGTGGAACCACACAAAAATGAGATCTCTCATTGCACTCTGAAGTGGGAGACCGAGTGCTCCACCTGCCACGCTGTCCAGCTAACTCAGTGGCCCTCAAGCCCCTCTGATATATAGCCTAGACTCCACAAAACTCTATGCAAAAATCAGGGTTCTGGGGTCAATGCTGAAGGTTAAAACTTTATGGACTCAAGCATGTAGAAAAGAAAAGGAACGGTTTGCCTAAATCCAGAGAATAAATTTGGAGAGTGAGGTGAAAGCATGACACAAAAACCAGAGCTCAAGATCAGGCTCAGACAAGGCTGCTGGTTCTGAGGCCTGCAGTTGGCTAAAGCTGCCGTCCACCATCGGGACTGGTTCTAGGCCCTGGGCGGGGCTGGCCTGCACCGTGGGAGGCAAATGCCTCCCCTTGTGGAGAAGAGAGGCCTGGCAGGGGGTGAGGGGAAACAGGGGCTTTGGAGATCACAGGTGTAACAACCATATTGGTTACATACGTGATTTAAAATTTTAGTGAGATAATTCTTAGGCACTTTTTATTCTTTAGCCTTAATTCAGAATGTGGGAAAATAGAGCTTATGGTAAATGTCGCTGGAATAAATGAACGAGAGAATGAGAAATAAGTGGGGAAGCATGAGCCCTTAGTGTTATCCCCCATAGTGTTCTAGATTCCTCAGGTGCCTGTAGTATAGCTTTCGGACAGCAGATGGCAGCATTCTACGTCTTCAACCTCGGAATTCTTGACCAGAAGCGAGAGCTCAGACATTAGCGCATCCACTCCTCTCCTTTTGAAATCTAGAAAACTGAAGTCCACATGGTGTGATGTGACTTAGATGGCCCAGGACTTTGGGGAAGAGCAATACAGGTCTTTCGGTATTAATCTAGCGCTCACTCCGCAAGAAGGAATAAACAATATTTCAGCTTTTTTTCATACAACACGAATAGATTTCTATCAACACATTCTCTTGTCTGACCATCAGGCATTGCCATTTCTGAAGTTCATTTCAGCCCTTAGAGCGGCAGCCTGGCCCCTGGCCAGTGGAAAAGAGCACAATTACGAGACTGGTGATTTAGGGACACCACCGCTGGGTGGCAATGCAGTGTCATGGTGACAACACTAGCCCAGAATCAGGTGAGACCCAAGACCCGGGTTGGAGAGTCCAGCTCCACACTTCCCAGCTATTTGGCCTTTGCCTGCTATGGATCCTCTCAAAGCCTCTGTTTCCTCATCTTTAAAAGGGGATCATAACATAACATAATAAAATAAAATTAAAAAAAGAAAAGTTAAAAAAATAAATTTTATTGAAAAAAAAAAAAAAAAATAAAATAAAATGAAAAATAAAATGGGGGGAAATAAAAAAAATAAAAGGGGATCATAATAACCATGTTCACGGTTGTCGTGTGGGTAGAATGAGATTCTGTCTATGAAGTAGCTGGTACTTATCACACAAGCCATAAACATTCGCTATTAGTGCTCATCTTATTATTACTCAGTACACTGAACAATAAATTGGACTAATGGTGCCTTTTGAAAGTAAATGTGAGCTGTGAATTAATTACTTCAGTAAACTTCTATTTTAGAGCACACTGAATGGGAGGGACTGTGTTATGTTAGCCAGATGTTTGTGGGAGACAAAGATACATGGGATCCGGCTCCTGCCTTTGAGGATCCAGCAATTCATGGTCAACAGGGCTTGTGCTTGAGTAAATTTAACCAGTAAACGGTAAGCTGTAGCTGAGCAAGTATTTGTCACACAGCCACTTCCATCTAGTTGCTGCAGGGGATACAAAGATGAAGAAGGCATGGTTCCTGCCCTGGAAGACCTCCTAGTCCATGTGGGAGGCAGAGCCAGGAGAGACGTGCCCGAGTAGCTTACGAGGTCCTTGAGGGGTGGAGGTGACATCACATCCATCCCTGCATTAGCTCAGAGCCTGGGGTTTAGCAGTGCTCAGTGAAGGTAAATGTAAGAAGGAATAAAGAGCCAGTGGAAAAACACTTTATAAGGAAGTAAAAGTCCCAGTGACATAGCTGAGCTTCATCACTTACTAAGGGTGTGAATTGCAACAGGTTACTTAACCTCCCTGAGCCTCTGCTTCCTCATCTGGGAAATGGACATGACACTGTCTTTCCCCATTATTTCAGAATGGTGGAAAACATCAAATGTCACAGTGATATTAAAGCACTTTATGAAACTGTGAAATGTTTAAAGTTGTAGGAATATGCAGAAAGCAAGACAGAAATTACCATGCTTTGTGGAGAGTGTGTTTCCTTTAGCTTAGGAACAGTTTTACATGAATCCCTGGTGATTCTTCCTTCTATCGTATTATCGGAGAAGCCATAAGAAAGGACAGACCCACAATCCTACCTTCACATATTGGTGGGGAACCTGTCCAATGTCCAGATGGAGTACAATCCAATATTTGTGGTCCAGATAAAGATAATCCTTCATCACAGGTGAATCGGCATGTGGACCTATAACCGGAATTTCCAAGATGCTGGACACAGGTCATTGTTCCATTCCGAGGGCTTAGCAGAGGTGTGCAGGCAATGGCTACAATGGGCACGGTAGAGAGAGGAGAGATAGGGTCATTTTAGAACACAGCAACCTGAAGTCATTGTGTGTGTGCATGCATGTGTGCACACGCATTCTTAATCCATAACGGCATTTGGTTAGAAATGATCCTTTGAATTTCATGCTGCTTTCTCACCAGTTAGAGGTCATGGACGTATAAAATAGCAGCAACTAACAGTTGATTGGCATCCTGAAACCTTCACCCACAAAGAGCTTTAGAGGTCATTTTAAAAGGGAGCTGGTGCTTTGGAAAGATATCATTTCAGGTGTCCCTGGACAGGCACGGAAGTGGCTGCTTCCTTGACACCTTCAGAAACAGACCTAATGACCTTGCCAGAGAACAGTGACAAATGTGTTCCTTACCAGCAATGTGTCTCTAGACCTTTCTGAACTTCAGTTGCTTCATCTATGAAATGGGAAAAATAACACTCCTTGCTTAGCAGGGATCCTCAGTTATATAAATAATATGTAAAAATTAAATTTAAAAATATTTTAAAAATCATGGACACATTGTAGGTATGTAACGTAACTGGCCATCTGCAAATGCTCTTCCCACCAATGTCATCCTATGGTGACAAACCCCAATGACTCTACTTGTTCACTTATAGACAAGGTAAATTAGATCTCATGGTTCTTTACCACAGTTTATACATATAGAGTTCGAGATGCTAGGGGACTTACTTGGGTTAGAGATCATGCTCTGTGATGTGGGACAAGTCACTTAACCTCTCTGAGCCTCCATATCTACACTTTTAAAATGTGGAGAACGAACAATGAATCATGGAACAAAAAAAAAAAAACCAAAAAAAAAATGGATGGTGATTAACATAACAATAAAAAAAATTTAAAGGAAAAAAATGTGGAGAACAGCACTGCGTAGCTCCCAAAATTTTTACAAGAGTCAAAAGCAAAAACACTCTGTATGTAAGTGTTAATAGCTGTCGAGATGTCCCTCTGCCATTTAATGAAACTATAATGCCCAGATTCAACATGTTGACATTAAAAAGTGAAGACTATGAGAATGCATGGTTTAGGGGTTCCTTCTTCACTGTTTGGTTTGACTGACTAGTGTATGGCTTCAGACCAGAGTCAGTGACAGTAGGGCTGAACCTAGGGCCATTCTTTAGCCACTGACCTCAACTGCTTGAGGTTCCAAGAGAATTTTTTATACCTTTCTATTCCCTTTACCCCCTCCCCTCTCCAGCTATGTTCCCCTCAACCTGATCAACTTCTCCAAATACCTAGTCATTTTCTGCCACTTGAAACGTCTTTTTGTAGTGTGTATGTGTATGTGGTGGGAAAAGAGGAGAGGGGACAAGTCAAGAAGCCTGTAACCTGTAAGGACAAATTCGGAGGGTCTTGGTGCCATGGAATCCGTTTCCAGCTCTTTTGTGGTCTTGTCTTCTGATAGCTGGGGTGCTGATAGCTGCATATCAGAAGGCAACGGGGCAAACGGGACACTGAAAAGGGAAATTACCTGATAACACCCCCTCAGAAGTCTTACAACAGCGAGCAGGTTGCAAGCTTCTTGACACCTTCCTGCTCAGCCCCTATTTGGGTATTTCACTTGATGCTCACCCAGCAACAAGAGGAGAAAGTTCAGTCAGAGTAAACAAAGAGCTAAAAGCAGAAGGGAACTGGAAGGTCACAGGAAGCCATGGTGAGCATCAACCTCCTTGTAGTGAGATACCCACAGGAAGGACAGTATGGGGCAGTGAACTACAACTCTGATTACTGTGATAGAATTCTGCAGAATTCTCGTCACTGTGATAAGCCTCCTCAGGGATTCTGAGTTTTTCCCCAAAACTGCATGGACTTTGTAATATCTCCAGGCTCCTGTGTAGCCAGGATTAAAGCTAAAAAGGCAAGGTTGCAAGCCTCACTCTGGTCTTTCCAGACCCTGCCTGGAAGGTATATTCAACCCCAGCACCAGTGGCTTTCATTCATTCATTCATTCATTCATTCATTTGTCCAATTCTGCTGAGTTCATTCATTCATTCATTCATTCATTCATTTGCTGTTGACCTAACTTAACAGTGGGGTGTGACCCGAATAGCAAGTGGCTTCCTCTTCATTAAAAATATGTGTCTACCTGCTTTCACTCAGATGTTAAAGTCTGTGCAAAGTGAAAGGCAAAGGCAAACAATGCAGAAATATCTAGTATTTTATTTATTTCATTTTATTATTAAAATTGTATATGCCTCATAAAAATACTAATTGCATAGAGGGAAAAGTGAATGGGGAAAATATTGAAAGAATTCGTATAAGAAAGCTAACAATGCCTATTTCAGCCTGTGAGTACTTAAGAGGATTTTTTTTTTTTATGTTCTTACTTTTCTCTAGCTTTTACAAGTGAGAATCCTGCTTTATAAACATGATATTGCCATAAATATAACTGAAGAATTGGATACATTGAGTGGAAAAAGGAATGCGGAGTATAAAAAGCATACATCTGTTCTTCAGTTCCCAAACACAAATGATTAGGACCAGTTCTATTTCATAAAATATTGGCAGACTACCCTGGCTTTCTTTTCAGCCAAGTACAAAGCGGATTTACACCCTGAGACTGAATATCCTTTTCTGAGGATTCTGTAATCTTGCATTTAGAGATGAATTTCTTCCTCTTTTCATCACTCTTCACTTTACCTGAGTATATTTCTCCATTCCTACACAGATCTTGGAGGAGGTGTGCAGCCAGGCACCTGTAAATTCTGCCCCTCCCATTGCACTATTATACCCAATGTTTGCGTCCCCCCCCCCCATTTCCACCATTACGCTCCATGGTTCCTAGGAACAAAGTGCCAGGTCAGCCTTGGGACAACCATCCTGAAGCTATTTTTTTCCTTCTGGCTTTCTTTCTAGGCACTATTCTTAGCCAGGAGAATAGTGTACCTGGTTCATGATAGAAGCCTCCAGTTCCTAGTAAGGGGTGGGTAGGGGCCAGTCCCTATCTCCTATTGCCAAACATCCTGCCACTCATGTTATCTGCCTGGCCCCTGAAGGCACCTGCATTTGGAATCAATGAGTTACAGGATGAAAGTGTTTATTAATTTCCAGTCCATTTCGAGCTTCTGGCCCCTAGACAGTCACCACCACTAAAATATAGCCTTTTAAAATACAGCCTACAATGGATTTCCGAGATGGCTGGAAAGAATTCACTTTACCTTGGCACTCCGGAGGAGGAGCGCTCCAGTTGCCGGTACCCAAGCATTGCAGCATGCTTGCTCCCACCAGGTGTAAGCCTTCATTGCAGGTGAAGCTGCAGGTTGATTGGTACCTAAAGGCACCAAATGGGTGGGAGCAGTTCACCTGGGCCTTGTTTGGAGCCGGAAGATTATGGCACTGCAGAGCTAAGAGGTGAGGAAGTAAGGAAGTAAGGGAGTGAGGACAGAGTAATACACAAGTACTCATTAATTTTGACCTCTTAACCCTTTCTAGTGCCAAGAACAGGGATTTCTGAATGGGGCATGTTTAAACTGGAGGATGAGAAAAGTATCCAACAGCAATTTTATAAGGAAAATTCTAAGCCATTGTTAAGCATTTTGGCAATATGCATGAATAATTTTTCAAAGATCGTATTGTTAGACCCAAGAATGTATGCTAAGAATGCAATCAAGATGCATATCAAAAAATCAATTCAGAGATTTTTTTATTTTTATTTGTAAGAGCAAAATATTGAAAATAAACACAAATGCCACTAATCAGAGGCTGAAAATAAATTATGGTGGATCGATGAAAGGAACACTAAAGGTCACTAAAAATGATTTATTTCACCTTGAAAAGATATGCGAGGTGTCTCGATGCACAATGTTCAGTGAAAAAGCAGAATAAAAATTATATATATGCTATGATCTCAATCATATAAAATAGATGGTCATAGAGAGAGAACAGGTGCATTCTAATATGTTAAGTCTTCTCATCTTAAAAATGTGAACAGTAATTGTAATTACCTTATGGAGTTAGACTATAAAGTGTTCAATAAATATTATCTGCTGGTAGCAGCAAGCAGCAGCAGTTCTAGTGGTGATAGATAGTGGTAATACTATTAAAAGTATGCATCAGATGCAGACCCTGATCTCACCCAGCAGAAAACACCTGGGAAGCCTGGCAAGGGAGTTATTGAGACCATATCTCGGGAAGCTTAAGAGAGTATCCAACTATCTCTGGGGTATGATAAGACATTTACATGCCTGAAGATAAGAATGGCCCCAGTGATCTTTAAGATCCCTCCCTCCCTTTGAAGCACAGCAAAGGGCTCTTTTGTGTCTGTCTCTCAGACAATAAATACACAACACATCCCATTACCCTCACCGTCATGGTGCATGGTCATCTACTCCCTCACTGCCTCATTTTTGGGTTAATTTTTTTTTTTTTTTTTATCGTGGTAGAGTACACATAGTATAAAATTTACCATTTACCACTTGACTATTTTTAAGTGCACAGTTCACTGATATAAAGTACACTCATCTTGCCGTGCAGCGATCACCACCAACCAGCGATAGAACATCTGTCATCGTCTCACACTGAAACTCTATACTCCTTAAACAGGAACTCCGCATCCCCCTCCTCCCAGCCCTTTGCAACCTCCATTTTACTTTCTGTCTCTATGATTTTGACTACTCCAGGGACCTCATCTGAGTGCACTCATCCCTTATCCTTACCTGCCTTTTACGACTGGCTTGTTTCACTTAGCATAATGTCCCTGAGGTTCATCCATGTTGTAACATATGTTAGAATCTCCTCCCTTTTTAAGGTGAAATAATATTCCATTGTATATATCAACCACATTTGGCTTATCGATTCATCCACTCAGGGACACTTGGGTTGCTTCCACATTTTAACTATTATAAATAATGCTGCTATGGACATGGGTGTACAAATCTTTTTCCCTCCTTGCAACCCTGCTTTCAAATCACTGCCTCATTTTTAAATCAGAGTATACTTAGATCCAGGGGATTCTCATAAATTGCCCGGGGATCCCAGTAAATAGCAACACGAAATGCCAATGTTGCATCTCTGGGACATAACTTCTATGTGGGGTACCCCTTGCAAAAGTAAAAATCCTAGTGACTTCCCTATGCCTTTGTTCTCCTGTAAGAGCAAAATATGGAAAACATGAACTATTAAAAGAATATTACTTTGTAAAATCAGATCACAGACATAGGATTTATAAGGTAATGTTATTGTTTTACATACATTTGTTTTTTTTTTAAAGATTTTATTTGACAGAGAGAGACACAGCAAGAGAGGGAACACAAGCAGGGGGAGTGGGAGAGGGAGAAGCAGGCTTCCTGCTGAGCAGGGAGCCCAATGTGGGGCTCGATCCCAGGACACTGGGATCATGATCTGAGCCGAAGGCAGACTCTTAACGACTGAGCCACTCAGGTGCCCCGTGTTTTACATACATTTGTAAAACTTGTAGCAGTTTTAAGCTCATTTTTACACACATTAATTCACAACCACGAATGAGGCACGTAGGTAAGGCAGATAATAATACTTCCATTTTACAGGAGACACTGATCTTCAGAGAGACCAAAAGCTTGTTACCAGGAAATTACAGAACTAGACTAAATGCCTTGCCCATTACTCTTCTACCATCCTACGTTGTTCCTCATGCATCATTCCTTCCTCCCAACCCTTGTCTCCTTCATGCCAACCCATTCCATTCATCTTGAGTTCTAATATGCTGTAATGGATGTGTGCTTTGCTCACCGTTTCATCCCTAGGGCCAGCACAAAGGGCCTGGCACTAGTGGTTCTTAGTGAATGTCTGATGAATAAATGACTTACTTCTAAATGCAGGTGTGATGCCTTTAATAAACTGAGAGACACAGAAGGAACGTTCCAATGTCACAGTACCTTGACACACCGGGGCTGGCGCTGTCCACTGTCCCAAGTCAGTACACTGGACTAGGTCAGCTCCTTCCAGCCTGAAACCCTCAGCACAACGGAAGCTACAGCTGGTGTTGTCCTGAAATGCTCTCGAGGATGGGGAACAATCCACGCTTCCATGAACAGGACTCTCCAGTGGCCCACAGGCAATGGCTAAATGGAGACAATTGTCATCTGAAACTGGGTAATGGAAGGGCTCAGTTCCTTCTCAGGAGAGCCTCTCAAGAGATGCATCTTTCCTACCCATATTATCAGCATGTTCAGAACACTGAATCCTCCCTTTTCCAAAATGGAATCTGCCTAGAACATCTTCCTATGCCCTTTTTGCCTGGATCATTCACCTGCCCTTTGACTTCAGCTTAGACATCACTGTCCTTAGGAAGCCTTCCCTGCCCACCGCAGCTCAGGGGTAGGGACTCCTCTAGTGTGCTCCTCATCTCCCCAGCACCTGCAGACACTACTGTAGCACTGCCCCTTGGACCACAGTCTCCTTGAGCCTGGGCTCAGTCATTCCTAGTTGTATCCCAGGGCCCGGCAGTGATTGGTATTAAATATTTACTGGTAATATTTGTGGAATTGGATCTGGAAAGAGTTGATATAGAACAGGCTGGACTTTTAAGGAAAAAGCTGGAATAATACAGCTTATCATTGACATACTGTTACCTAGGCTTATAAAATTATCCTGAAGGGGCCATATCTCTGAAACACAGGATGTCATCGTCATCAGACTTCAATTGCCAAGTGAGTGCAGCCCAAGGAGAATTCCTGCACAAAATTAATCCCTGAGTGACTTCAGTTCTGATGAAGTCTGGTTTCCTCATTTTTTTCCTTGATAAAGCATTTTGTCTCCAGACTATTCCTGGTTTGTTTTTTTTTTTCAGAGTATAAAGACCTCCCATTACACCCTGGGCTTAGACCTCTGGTTTTTACAGAATCGGGACCTATAAGAACCAAAGATACTCTAGTGCTTGTTCTCTCTTCCTTTACGGATGAGAAAAGTGAGGTTCAGAAATGTTGTTACTTCCCCAAGGTCTTATATCTGGACAGTAGCAGAGCTAGGCTTGTAATCAAATCTCCTGGGCACTCACTGATCCAATCTTCAATTTCCTGCTCCCCCATCCCCCTTTCTGCCTAATGAGCTGAGGGTATGAGGCAACTGCACAGAATTCAGCTTTGTGCTCTTGTGCAACCGTGGAGGGTTGTCCGTTGTCAAAGTCACCTCCAAAGACTACGATGGGGAATCCCCCTCCTTGTCCTAATCGCCACTGTTCTGACTTCCTCTTAAGTAGAGGACTTGTCCCACAGCTTATATTGCCAGTGAGGCAGGAAGGGAAAAAAAGAGATAGAAACTGAATGCCCAGTCCGATGCTAGCTACTTTACACAAGCAATTTCATTGTGTACTTTTTATATCCTTCATTCTCACAAAAGCACCAGGGAATTCTTAGCTCATTTCATGGGTGAGGAAACCGTGCCTCCTGGAGGTTGGGTAACCTGTTCCAGTGTCAGAGTCTGGAGGAGGCCATCCTGAGGTGAAGAGCCCCTGATCTTTCCACGGTGCCATGACCCTTCCTGGGTGGAAGAGGGCAACTAAAGGAAACTCCTACCCTCACAGGCTGGTGAGGGTGCGGTCCATTGGCCAGAGCCAGTGCAGCGGATTGAGGCCCAGCCCCTCACTTGATAGCCAGGTTCGCATTCAAATTTGCAGCTGGAGCCATAAGCAAACGCAGCGAGAGGATGAACACAGTCCATGGATCCCTTGCCAGGGGCTTCCAGGAGCGGACACTGCACAGCTGGAGAGAACAACCAAGGAAAGAGAGAGAAAGATACTGAGGAAGGAGAAAACCAGGCCCAGGGCCAGAAGGCACTGATAAAACCACCTCAGGAAATCCAGGTGGAGCTAGGAATCTGCAAGGGTCAGGGACCCTCATGATGTTTGTCCAGACTTGGAGGACCAGTCCACAGGGTGACCTTAATCTTAAAAAAATAAAAGGGAGTCTTCCAAGCTTTTTGTAATATCCTCTATTCCCTTTACCTCCATAAACCTGTCCTGGTAGGTCTTCTACTTACAGACATAGATGCCATTGTTTCCTTCTTGTGTGAAATTTATGAATGGGGCCCATTCTCAAACTGTTCAACGGCTGTGAGTTTGGGAGAAGGGAGGACTTTTAAATTTAGTCTGTAGTGAAATCAGCCTCTTGTTTTCCTGGTGCCTGATACTCTTTTCCTATCCCAGATGTACACAATGTACTGGGTGTCAGGTGGAAGGAGGGTCATGTTGTGGCGGTTCAGGCCAACTTCTCCATAGCTGGCCAGTCATCTGTACTCTCAGCAAGAACTGGGCACAGTGGACATTATGCATCCCCAACCCCCGGAAACTCACCTTCACACACTGGGGCTGCGGCTGTCCACAACCCCGAGGCCGTGCACTCTACCACCTCTGACCCAACTAATGCAAATCCCTCTTCACAGCTAAAGCGGCAGCTGGACCCGTACTGGAATGCTTTGGCAGAGTGCAGACACGTCATGCTTCCTCGCTCAGGAGTCCTCAGGGGTGGGCACTGGACGGCTACAAACAACCACAGAGCAATGGTGTGAACCCTTGGGTTATGCCCAGCATCTGGGAAACCTCAGGATGATACAGCAGCTGTCTATAACCATCCCTAAGTGATGGCTAAGGTGATACACCTGGTTGGTTAGATGGCACTTTCAGTAGTGGTTTCGAAATATCCAAACATCCTCATTGTTCATTTACTTTTTAAAGAAGAAAGGTAAAATGATCAAATTAACAATACTCAGCCCTAAGTCCTTATTATTATACTCTGCTTGCTTTGCAATTAATAGAGGGAGACAGGACCTGTCTCCCTTCGTGATGCTTTTGCCTGAGAATCAAGAACTACGCTGATTACCTCCCTCTATAGATAAAACATCATGAAATGCAAAATTAGCATTACTCTCATTGATGGGTAATAGTAAAAATCAGAATTCCCCATCTAATGTGGATCCTCATGCTTTCTCATGTTTTTTAATGGAGAAAGCTTGTTTTCCCCCTCTGAAACTGTAGTTGTCAGTGAGGATAGAAAGAATAGGGTCTACATACCTATACATTGTGGTGGCTCATTCGTCCAGGTTCCAGAAGCCAAGCATTCCAGCTTGCTGGGTCCATTCAATTTGTACCCTTCAGAGCAGTGGAAACTGCACTCTGAATTGAAAGAGAAGTTTCCCAGAGGGTGGCTGCAGTTCATGAGTATATGCTGAGGGAGATCAAAACCCCCACACTCTCTGACTGTGGGGACAAAATATTGATTTTTCTTTTCATTGCAGGTTTAAAGACAATGTCAGGTTTGCTAGAAGTTGGAAGCTATTTATATAACCCTCTTAACCCTGTCTTTCTGGGCTGCTAACCCAAGCTGGTCATCTTTACGTGCTGCCTTTGTATTGGCTATATCTTGGGAAATGATCAGTCTTTCACCAGTTTTTATTTCAAATGAGCAAAATCAGCTTTTGTTTTGCTTCGTTTATGTTTCTCTTTTACCAGTTTAGGATTTTATGAGCAAATGTTCCAAGAATGAAATGTTTTACCCAGAGCGTGTGTCTTGGGACAGTTGGAGTGGGGCAGACTGACAGACCATGGAGAGGGCCAGGACTAGCCTTTACTCACTGGAGAGTCTCCAACATGATTTGCTTCCTGACACCACCTCCAGCACAAGACCAATGGCCACAATAATAATCACAAAATAGTGGCCTCACCATATTCACATTCTGGTCCATAGAATCCAGGGAAGCAGGAGCAGGTGTGGTTCCCGATGGTCTCAATGCACTCTCCTTGCTTGCTACAGGACGTGTCCTGGCAGGAGGCTGCATGCATACAGAAGGATCAAAATCATGGGCATTCCCAGGAGGTGGGAAGAAAAGCTGGATTCTTCCTCAAGCCACAGACTCAGCCCCACTCAGATAAGATTGAGCCAGCCAAAAAACAGAAAATGACCATGTCCTCTTGGGGTGCCATGCTGGTGTCCATGAAGGACATTGTAGAAGCCCCACCTGAGCATTGCATGGCTTCCACCTTAGGCTGAGTTGAGTGATGCCTAAGGAGGGATTGCTATGTGTGTCACAGAGAGACAAAGAATCACCGATGGATGTGAGACAGAGAAACTCCTCTATGTGGCACAAAATAGGTTGTGACTTTTAACCAAGAATGTTCTTAGAGTTCTATTATTACAGAAGCCCCTGTGACAGAGTACAGCATAAAGATTAGGAATCAGATGTGGGCGGTCACACATATGTGATCAGAATTGTGGCTCTGCTGCCTACTATTATGGGACCTCAGATAGGTTACTTCTCTGAGGCCAACCTGCCCAAGATCAGGGCCAAAGCCCTTCCACCTTTTGTTCATTTCAAATCTGTACCCAAAACCACATGGTGGAGGAGCAGAGGAACCAAATGAGATGTTTAGGACCTCCCCATGGTACAGGACAGTCTCATAAAGAGGTGTTTCGCAGGTCCAAATATGCCAGGCTTAGTTGTGGAGAGCATGACTGGCCAGCCAGGCCCTTCTCAGTAAGTCTGAATGGAGAGGGGCTGGGGTTTCTTTCCTGCAAGAGACTTTTTGGAGATGGATCTGTGCACTATGCACCTGATGGAGGGTTAGCATTAGAATTGATAATATGAAAGCACTGAGAACATTTTTACTGATGAGGTCATAGCTGGGGCTAAGGTCTGAGGCTAGACTATTTTCTGGTAGTGTTTCCTCTGCACTAAGCCCTGGCCACACGTGGTCCACTTTGGGGTCCATTATAAGAGGAAATTCATATGTTACATAGAGGGTTATACTAGATGACCTCTACATTCCCTCTCAACTCTGAGATGCTAAAATTCTAAAAGTCATGCAGATTCTGCAGGAGGACGTTCTTGAGGCAGCCAGCAAATTTGGTGAAGCTGCACGGGGCCACTGGGAAGGGTTCCAAGTAATGGGAAGATGCAGAAGGAGCAGTAGCCTAGAGACAGACTTTGGTCCACATCTTCCATCCTATCACCTTGACCCCACCAGTGTCTTCCAGCAGCGATACCTGTCTGCCCTATGCTTTCAGAGCATACGCATTTTCTTCTGATTGTAGCTTCCTCAGGATCCCAGAATGTTAGACATGAAAAAACAGTCAAAGTCTGTAGTCTACTCCACTTTAGGGTTTCAAGCGGGTTAGTAACTTGTCTATACTTTGAATCCCCAGGAAAGGATATAATGATAATTCACTGAATGAATCTTTTTTTTTTTGGCTAGACTGTTCCAAGGTCTAACAAATCCTGACATTTAGAGAATTGGTCCCACTTAATTTCTTGTTGTAGTCTACATATCTATTTCTCATCCATCTCCCACAGAGAGTTGATGGTTCCCTATACCCTTTACATCTTGGGTGGCAAAATGCCACTCAGTGATAGTGGCTGCCAAGAGTGTTGCATTGGTGGACATGAAAACTGACTGTGCTCCTGTGAAATTGCAACAATTAATGATGTCCACTATTGTTGCAGGTTAGAGGAGTGGCATTGGCGTCGTGCATGCCAGGAGTTTTCAATCCCTTTTCTTCCTTGTGACTTTTTGCAAGTTTTATTGGGGAAAACGGTCTTGCAGATATGGATGTTGAAGGTTGGGCAGGAAGTTTTTTTTTTTGCATACGGGAAACATCTACTGGCAACCAAGATAATCTTTTTTTTTTTAAAGATTTTATTTATTTATTAATGAGAGACAGAGAGAGAGAGAGAGGCAGAGGGAGAAGCAGGCTCCCAAGGAGCAGGGAGCCTGATGCGGGACTCGATCCCAGGACCCTGGGATCGTGACCTGAGCTGAAGGCAGACGCTTAACCATCTGAGCCACCCAGGCACCCAAACAGATTTTTCTTTTTCTTTCTTTTTTTTTTTTTTTTTACGATTTTATTTACTAGAGAGAGAGAACAAGCAGGTGAAGCAACAGGCAGAGGCAGAGGGAGAAGTAGGCTTCCTGCTGAGCCAGGAGTCCAACCTGGGGCTCAATCCCAGGACCCCGGGATCATGCCCTGGGGAAGGCAGAAGCCCAGGCAACCAAGATAATTGTACAGGGACCGTTCCAGGGAGGTATAACCCAGGGAGTGTAGGGAGCTGACTGGGAGGGCAGCAGGATGCGCTAATATTCTGGTAATGTCCATCCTGGCCTACAAAGAACAGGTCTTGGTTTTTTAAATTAATAAATTTGTTTGTTTATAAATTATTTATAAATGAGAACGGAATACATGACAATGCATTTATGGAAAAGTTTTCTCTCAGATAGGAGGCTTGAGTGAGGAGAGAGAGAGAAAGTAGAGGAAAGTGGAGGAAGAGCTCTGAGGGGAGGTGTTTATATAATTTAAAGAATTTATTTATTTATTTTTTACTTTATTTTTTATGTTCAAATAGCCAACATATAGTACATCGTTAGTTTTTGATGTAGTGTTTAACGATTCATTAGTCGCGTAAAACACCCAGTGTTCATCACCACACATGCCCTCCTTAATACGCATCACCTAGTTACCCCATCCCCCACCCCCTCCCTTCTGTAACCCTCAGTTTGGTTCCCAGAGTCCAGAGTCTCTCATGGTTTGTCTCCCCCTCTGATTTCTTCCCATTCAGTTTTCCCTCCCTTCCCCTGTGGTCCTCCACACTATTCCTTATGTTCCACACATGAGTGAAACCATATGATAATTGTCTTTCTCTGCTTGACTTATTTCACTTAGCATAATCCCCTCCAGTTCCATCCATGTTGATTTTAGAACATACGTAGCAGAGTGTGGCATCTGTAAGATGATTTATGAAAGAAGAAGCTTCAGAGTACTCAAACTGTCTTGCCCAGGGCCGTCAAGTCTCTCCCTAGCCACAGTGTTTGTGCGCTACATGGGGCAGGAGGGGCTCCTCTATGTGAGAAGCTGCATCAGAAAGATGGCACATGCACATGAGTATAGGAAGACCAAACTTCCATGCATGTCTGCTTACTTGGGAACTGCTTACTTCATTGAGAAGCAAATACCCTCCCAGTTACCTCTTCCCTTTCCTCACACCCCGAACCTCTCCCAAAGTCCAACACACCTGAACACAGGTTGTTGTTGAAGGGAGTCTAAAGCACTTGTGATTCTTGGTCATGTTCTCATGGTGTCTCATGAGAATGTAGAGCAGAGAGGACAGTAGCATTTGTGGCTAAAAAACACCAACTTTGGATCATGAGTTTGAAACGAACTCCACCATCAAGTAGTTTAGAACCTTGAGCAGATCCCTTACTAGCCTGAGCCTTTGTCTCATCAGTGAGATGAGAGTACTAGAGGACCCAATTGGTGAGGTTCTCCCAAAGACTAGACGAAACTAATACGAAACAGACTCCTGACCCATGAACAAACAGCAATGCCTGCACCATACTGATGTGCAGTAGGTATTAGTTACAGTTGTGTCTCCTGGGGGCAGGGCCAAGCTACCTTTCAACTTCTACTAGGGCAGAATGGTGCAAAAAAGCTCTGGACATAAATTTTAGGAAACCAAAACTTTCTGAGCATCTACTTCATCACTTATGAAATGAAGTGGGTCAGATGATCGTAAAATTATCGTAAAATTCTAGTTTCAAAAATCCAGTTTTCTCTAATCCTGATCTTATATTCTTCAAGGTGCTCAGTAACGCTGCTTGATTGTAGTTTATTCTTTGTTCTCACATCCCTGACTTTGTGACTCAATGTTACCGACACAGTGGCTATATTAATGAACCAGGGAAGTTATTTGTTTTAAACAGACAATCTTCAGAGTAGAGAAGATCCTACCTGTGTAGCATAGTGCCCGCTTCCTTTTCCCGCAGGGCTCATCATTCCACTTGCCAGGGGCTGACACACTCTTGATGTAGATCTCCACACAGTCCTGGTTGTTCTTCTTGTTGTTGGGCTCATTGTCAGCCCAGTTCTCAGCCTCTTCGGTGAGAGGCTTTTTGGTTCCCACCCAGGTCCATTTATCATTGATCTTCCGGATCCCAATCCAGTAGTAAGAGCTGTAGTAAGGTATGACATCATTGAGGTAAGCAATTTCTTTTTTATTCTGGATGGCCACTAAATCCGTGTAGTGCTTCTGGCAGAATACCCGGGAATAGTTCCATGAATATGCTTTCATGCTGTAATTATAGGTCCATGCTGCCACTTCTTTCTGCTTTATTAATTCTGAGTAAAGGAGAGTGAATGCCAGGTTAACATCCCTAACCAGAAGGATTCTGTGAGCATAAATACACTTCTATATAGTCAGATGAGCTTCTGACTGGAAAACAAATACCTAAAACATGACTCTTTTATGTCTAATCTAGTTGTTTTAAGGAAGAAGAGTAGTTTCCATCTTTCACCTAAAAAATATATACATGAAGTCAGAATAGGAAATTGTACTCTGAGGATCCTTAGTATTAGAGATTTGGAATCATAATGGTAACAGAGTTGGGTCGTCTAATCTCCTCCTTTTATAAATGGAAGAGACATATTAAGTAATTTGCCCAATTTAAATGACACATAAAATGTCTTGCTGGCTGCTTTGAATCTACAGGTTCTACCTCTTCATACGGAAAATAAGATGCTCTATGATCTGGAGTCTAGCAGCTGGCCCAGCCTCATCACCCACCATATTTACCTTCTTAGCAAAACAGACTCCCACTTTCTGTCTTTGCAATGCTCTTCCTGCTATTCTGGCTGCCCTTCCCACATATGCCTTGTAAAATTTCTTCCCCCTACTTTCCATGACTTGCCCAGGTAGGCTTGCTGCTCCTTCCTCCAGGCTCCCACTACACTTCATCTCTGCTTCCACCTCCCTTGTCACTGGGTATTGGAATGTCTCTTCCTGTGATATGGTAAGATGCTAGATTGTGAATCCTGATGGTGGTCTGTTTTTATTTCCGGGTCCTTCACACCAAACACAGAGCTTGGCACTTAACAGGTGTTCAATAAATACTTGTTGAGTGAAAGACAACATGTTTGTGGCAGAGGCAGGTTACAAATCAAATCTCCTGATCTGCAATCTTACACTCATTCCACCTCTCTTGACTGTTTTTCTTTGATAAATTACGCTGTGTCTTCCATTTCTGCTCACTCACTTGTTAAAACAAGCCTTTTGAAGACATGTTTGTGATATTAAATGAAATAAAGTATGTGCCCTTCAAAAGTGTAAGGGGCACTCTGATGAAAGATATTGTTTTTGTAGCCAGTGGGAACTCACCCGGGCCAGAAGAGGCCAGATCCCACGTGAAGAAGTGTACAATGCAAGCAATCAGACCTGGAAGTGGCTCTCTTTCCTGTTTATAGAGTCTTGTTCCTATTCAACCCTGTCCTCTGCTGCCCACATGAGGGTCATTTATGTTTGTCTCTCCCTCACTGATACCTCTATTGAATTGCTTTGCCCTAAAACTTTATTTTGGAGTCACCAGGGCTGCCTTATTGACCTCCATGGAGTTTAGGCAGTTTTGCCTTAATCTGCCTCTTGTTCCATAATAAAATATTCAAAACTATATTTTACAATTGCTAATAAATTTTACAATTTACTATATATATATATATATATATATAGTATGCTAAGACATTTTTGTGGGTCCCTAACGGTACTGTGGACCAGTGCCCGCTGTGTCTAATGGATAATTGGTCCCTGGAGATGTCCGTTTCATTTTGTCCAGAGTTTTCCAGCAATGTGATGGTGTTGGGTGCATTTTTTTTTCCAGGCATTTGGGTGGGGAGAGTATTCCCAGGCCTCATAACAACTGACTACCATCCTTAACTTCTACTTCGAGAAGGTCCCCTCATTACTCAGGCCCAGATGAAGGGTTAACATAAAGTTTACCAAAGATCAGGGCACTGAAGCAAAGGAGTTGGACAGTTCTGAAGATCACTCTCTGAAATCTCCAGTTCCAGATGGCTTTTAGGCACCTGGCCTGAAACAAGAAAAGAAAACTTCTTTTTAGCATCGATGTGAAATCAATGGGGCCAAAAAAATTCTTGTTAATAATCATTATATTGAGTCATAATCCTCCCTGTTTCCATCAGTGTGGAGGTTCAAGCCCTTTGCTTCCTTCTTATTTCTCACTGCTCTGTTCTGAGTTCTACCCTGCACCAACACCGAGGACAGAATTTGTTTCTTCTTTCATTCGACAAATATTTGTCAAGTAACAACTTTGTGCAACTAATATTTTTTGTTTATGAAACACTTTGTAATAAACACATAAGAAAAATATTGTCATTATTATTATGCAATAATCTCCCTTTAAGACCTAGTATGGCATACCCCCAAATACTAGGAAGTTGAATACAAACTCCCTGACTGACCTATACTTTGATGCACGGGGCATCAGTGAATTGTCCTGTGCAATGCCAACTACTCTGTATTATTGATCTATGTTTTATCTTCTTGCTTGACAATTTCAGCCTATGTCCACAATATTATTCAATATTTAATATATATGCAAAGTACATATATATTTTAATACATATAATAAACTTATTCCCTTTGGATCAATAACAAGTATTATTTCTAATGAGTACCCTTCTGTTGGGATTTCATCAAATCTGTTAACATTTTAAAAATGTTTTTAGGCAAATAAGTTCCAGGAATACTCATCTTATGCAACTCCTTCCTGTCACACATGAAAGAACTGAAGGTTGGGGAGTCTAAAATCACATGTGCTTTCCAGGAAATTCAATCTTTTAAATTTTGATTTATTACCTTTTTTTGTAAAGAAGTAAGATGTAGTGATCAAGTAAAGACTTTAAGCTTAAAATTGTATTATATTAGGTTACAATTCTGCAGAGGAAGTGGAATAGAAATAGGTATTAAAGGAGAGAAAACAAATAATATAAAATTTCCTATTATCCAGAACTTAGTTATATTTTTTTAAACTGATGAGGGTTATTAGATCACTACAGCATTTAATTCCACTGGAATGAATATTAAGAAATGATGTGACATTTATTGTAAAAGGCTAATCTTTACAATGTATTGGACATCCCATCTTTTATTAGTTTTAAAACTTATGACAAAAAAGTTAGCTTTCCACTTAGAAGGGTGTGAGAGTTTGTACAATTTTCCAAAATTCTTTCAGAGGCACAAGCAGCAAAAGTGTTACCGCCGAAGAACACAATAATGTAGATCTCATGAAGGGGACCCCAATATTTACCTTTGAACGTGCACTGGATTTCTTCTCCAGTAGACTAGAGGAGAAGTATAGTGTTTTATTTATTTATTTCTTTTAAGATTTTATTTATTTATTCATGAGAGACAGAGAGAGAGAGAGAGGCAGAGGGAGAAGCAGGCTCCCAAGGAGCAGGGATCCCGATGCGGGACTCGATCCCAGGACCCTGGGATCATGACCTGAGCTGAAGGCAGACGCTTAACCATCTGAGCCACCCAGGCGCCCGAAGTATAGTGTTTTAATCTAGTGGTGCTCTCCGTGTGCCCTTTGGAAGTTTGTCTCCCTGTACATTTCTCTGTAGAGCATTTCTAGGGCTTTCTCTGGCTTTAGGGAAAGTTCAAGGAAGTGTGTGGGAGGCTGGTCAAGGGAGGCTCCTGCTTCCTTATCAGTGCCCAAGTCTAGCCACTATCCCAAAAGAGCTGTTTCACATTTTAACTAGTTTGTTTAAACTTGAAATATGGTTTAAACAGAATTGAGAGAGAGAAAGAGTTTTTAAAATTTTAAGGTTTTCAAGGTGGATGTTGGGTTAACATAATGATTCTTATTCTTGCAGGACTCTTGAACTCCTTTGAAAGTCTGGTAAGAGCTATTAGAGTCAGGATTCTTAAAAAAATGCACAGTTGCAATTTTTTTTTTTTAGACAATTTCAGACAGTTCATGGACTCACTCTGTCCGTGTTTAATGGACTGCAAGTTCAAATCTCTGTGAAATTCAAGGCAACAGAGTAAGTCACTGGCAATGGACAAGGGTTTTGTGTGTGAGCATGGAGAATGGGTAATGCCTAAGAATCTTCCTTTGAGTGGCCATTTTCCTCTGAAATTTCCTTGGGGTGGGCAGGCTTTCTCACATCTGTTCCTGTTCTACAGTGTCATCTTCAACTCTAAGATCCTGGAGATTTAAGGACTGTTCCCCTGTGTTACTAAACCACTTAAGTGTTGAAACAAGAGGAAATGTCTCTAAGAGAAACTGCTACGTGCTCTGCTAATCTTTCCTTTAATGTTCTCTGGCAGTCAACTTCAAACTAGAAGTCACTGGGAAACAGTGTAAACCTGGGTAAACCTTCATTAAAGCTGCTTCACACTGTGATTCTCTTTAATTTTACTTTTCATAAGAACTGAAAAAAATGGGGTGAAGAGAGGGGCAGAGAGAAAGTGCAAGACAGGGTGTTTTTTCCCTTGCCCTCACTTTGCTTAGGAAGAGGTACTAGATGCCAACAGGAGCCCGATGGCTGCCGGCATCAAAGTTGGAAGAAATGGTATCATGGAAAGTGATTCTTTCCTCCTATGTTGTAGACCATAGCTTTGCGCTTTTAGAGGCAGAATTGACAATGTCTCTCCCTGGACTGTTTGTCTTCTGCCCCCATACTGATTTCTCTCCTTCCCTTTGGTTCAGGTTCTTTAACTTCCTTGTTTCCCTTTATCTCCAGCCTCCTCCAACCACCAGCCCACTAAACTGCTCTTGCTAACTTTACCACTGAAATCCTAATTACCAAACCCAGTGAACACTCTCCCTTCTTATCTTCCTTGACCTTTCTGCAGCAATAAATACTACTGAATACTTCCTTTTATTTAAAATGCTTCCGTTGGTTCTTCTTTTGACTCTTATTTGACATCTTGAGCGATTTTGATAAGTCTTCCTCTGAATCTATCTCAACCCTCTGCTTGCACTTGTAGCGATAGAGAGTACCCTGGGGTCCTGCCTCCATGACCCAATTCTCTTATCACTCATCTGCTTTCCTGAGGTCTTCTTCTGGTCATCTGTGTGCCAAATGGCCCCCAGGCAGCATCTCCATCCCTGACTTCCCTCCTCAGCATGACATCTGCAATCCAAATGCAAAGCAAGCATATGAGTGTACAGTTGGAGGATGCTGATGGCAGAGGCTTCTCAAGGCCAAGATGACTTAGGTCTGAATCTCAACTATAGTAGAGAGCAGACGCTTAATGTTTAATAAATATTTTATGAATGAATGAACAAAGAAAGAACAATGGCACAGGAATGACTGAAAGTAAGAACTGGGTGCTGAGTAGGAAAATACTGAAAAAATGTGATGATTATAACTCAATATTTAAGGGCTACAGCAGTAATTGTATCAAATTTAAAAGTATATTATGATTAAGCAGAAGAGCATAAGAAAGCTGTGCAAAAAAAATGATCTTGGTACTTTGGCTCATTCTATTTGCGTGTAAGAGAAGCAAGGGGCATGATGGCTCAACATCCTGTGTGAGGGAACAAATGAGTAGGACTTACTCTCTTAACACCATAGGGGTAAGATAGAAGGATATGTGGAGAAGTGGGGAAATTGAGGATTTTTATAACGGGTGGTGTGTTTCAGGAAAGCCTGGAGGGGCATCAGGTAGCAGCAGCTCTTAGAAGTTGGGAACGAGAAAGCAAATTTCAATCTAACCCTTTGGAGTGAGTGGGACTCTCAGAAAGCCTCTAGCACCAAAGGGGACTCATATAAGAGGCATAGGTTCCTACTAGCAGACAGTCTCACTGTCCTGAGCCCTGTGACCCTGAAGTCCTTCATCAGGTGGACCATGGAGGTTCAAAGACCGAGGATCTTTCTCCTTTGTCCAAACCCTTCACATCAACCTGTCATCAAATCCTGTTGACTTTACCTTCTGACCAGATACTTGGTCATTCTCCAGATTTCCACTTACCACTAAGGTACATAATTCTTTCCTTTCTGCACATCTTCTAATTGGTCTCGCCTCAATTTACTATCTTCAAGTTACCCATATTCAATTATTTCTCTATAATGAAGTCAGAAAGATATTCCTAACAAAAAACCTGATCATATCACTTTACTATTTAAAGTCCATCAGCTGTTCCTACTCCTTGAGCAATAAACACAAACTCTTCAAGATGACACATGTAAGACCCTTCGAAATGTGGCCTCTTCCTTTTGTCTAGTCTAATCTCTTGCCATTAACTTTCAGTTTATTCACCCCCACACAGTTCTACAATGCATTTATAATGAAACATCTTATAGTTTCCAGAATGCCCTGTATGTGCCCTATGTTCTCCTTATTGCCCAGAGAACCCTCTCCTTCTCTGTGTGCCTAGCTCTAAATCCAAAAATCTCCTCCTGAAAGGAGACTTCTCTATCAACAATCCTACCCTCCCCCCATCGCCCCCACCAAGACAGGCCCTCCCCGTTATTCCCTGTTCTTTCCCATTGCTTATTTCAGTAGCTATTAATTTATCAAATGCCTACAATGTGTCAGGTACTCTTCAAGGCACTGGCGTTAAAATGGTAAAAACAGACATCATTCCTGTCCTTGTGGAATATACAATCTATTGAGGAAGACAGACAATGAAATGCCAATAAATACACAGCAGTTCATAACCAATAAACATGAAACCTGGAAACTAGTGATAAGCACCAAGTAGGGAATAGAAGTGGGGTTATGTGGTAGAGGGACTGGGTGGTTACCTTAGGCAAGGAGCTCAGGGCGGATCTCTCTAAGAAGGTCATTTTTAACTGAAAGCAGAAGGTCCAGAAGAAGCCAGCCAGGGAGAATCAGGAAGAAGAGAATTAAAGACAGAAGGAAAAGTTGATGTGAAGGTGTTGAGTGGCAGCAAAGTGTGGAGTGTTCACAGAACATGAAGCATCAGTGTGGCTGGAATGGAATGAGCAGTGGGAGGAAGAGCATGACATGAAGCTGGTGACAGATCACTCTGGGGCTTTAGGAACTAAAACAAGGGGATGAGATTTTGTTCTAAATGCAGAGGAGTCAGAGGCT